AAGAAGATCTTGCGAGTCAAACTGACCTGCTCAAAAAGGCCGACGCTGAAATCCTGGAGCGATTCCCCCGTCTCAAGGACCAGCCTGTCTGGAACAAGAACTACATCCCCTTGACTGAGCAGAAGGGAGTACACAGCGACGATGCAGTCACCCCTTGCAAGCCTCTCACACCTTATATGCTCTACCGTTTTATTGTTCCTCCCTCTGAGCGCTTTCTCAAGACGAGAGACCTTGCCTTCGCCGGCGTGGTATCCAACTTTGGAAACCCCATGTCCGCCCACTTCCAGGGTCTCTGGATCAGCGCGTACTTCAACGGCCAACTTGATATTGACCCGGCCAAAGCAGTCGGCGACGAGAAGCTGATGAGCGAGCTCAAGTACCAGACCATCTTGCACAACCGCTTCGGCAAGTGGCGCTACCCTACCGACTGGGGTAGCAACAAGGCTCCTGGGTTTATCTTTGACGCGATTCCGTATCTTGACCTTTTACAAGGTGATCTTGGCCTCAACAAGTGGCGCAAGGGAGGCTGGGCGGAGATCTTCCAGGCATACGACCCCAGAGATTATGCTGACGCCAATGATGAATGGAAGAGGAAACACTCTCAGAAGGATGATGGAGCATCAACAATTGAGATACTTTGATTGTCTAAATATTCCCAATGTAGATGATTATACTGTAGCATTCTTGTTTACATATCTTGTGGGAGGCTGTATTATAGGTCGTGACTTTTTTCAGATATAAGGGACAAAGCCAATGGGTCTTGCCATCGTTTTTAACTTGAGTCCACTATGATCGTATCGGCCATCTCGGATAATGTTTCCACCACTATGTCCATTTTACCAAACATTTTAGACAGACTGTCATTAGTGCTTCATACTTTACGGCCCTTTCAAGTAAACGACGTCCTCTCAAATCCTGTTCCCGTATCTCTGTCAGTCGGTCGTAACATAACTTCCCCACAACTACTTCTCCATGTCTCTAAACACCTTTAACAGAATTGTTCATTTTAACCGTTTCGTGAACAGCGCTTCAGCTTACAATCAGACGTAAGAAGGTATCGCTAGTGAATCTCGATAAACACGTATCTGAGGAGCCCTTCCCAGAGACGGGACGGCATAAGCGTGGGTCATATGATTCAATCACGTATTGATAACACTCCTGGACCGGATGATTGGCCATGGAGGTAAGTTTGTGAATGGCAAGTAACATGTAGATCTTCCCCTCCATTGATTATCAAAAGATTGATATAACAATCTGGTTCCCAACCTCACTTTACAGCTTCTTATCATACCCATACCTATATTCTCCCGCATATTGCATGTTTCTCCGAACCAGTTCTTAACCATGCAAACTTCTGCCTCCCATCTAAGGCCGTACTATCGGCTTTTTCTGGCGCTCATCTCCGCACGCCCTAGACAACCACAGAACTTCCCCGGATATCCCCCCGGAAGTTGACATATGTGTCACAGTAGTGGGGTTCGCAGGCGCTTCTGCACATCTGCAACTCTCAAAGCCAACCGCAACCCCGCATGCTGATTCATGAAGCCCGGCAAGCCTACTCGGGAGCTACTGGCCGAAATGGCAGGAAGAATAATATTATCATCTAAAACTTCTTTTTTATATCTGGACCTTAATATGATAATCTTAGATATAAGCCTTATTAGATGTTATTTTAAACTACTAGATATATTTTATATTGCATAATCCTGAACTTTGATATTTAAATATTTCATCTCCCATGCTAATAGCTCAATTTCTGGAATTTCCTTCGCCGCGCGAGCTATAATTTGTGCTACCTCATCTAATAATGCAGCATCATCTACATGTTGAGGGGGGGTTCTAAGCTCTAACAGCCTGTGAGCGAGGTATGAGTAGGGCAAGTGAATTTGAAAACACCCGAATAAAACAGACAATGTATCCATCTCGCAATTTTCGTTCAAAACGGTACACGCAGTTCGGAGCATCCTCCTGGAGATGCTCTGTATAAGTGGCATCCTCGAAACAAGGTCATCCGTAGCCTCGAGGCTAGACAGGACATTCTGTCTTGCGATGGCCCGGCGCGTCATATATATGATGCAAAGATAGCCAGTGAAAGCAATGCCAGAAACTGGCCACAACCGCATATCGGCACCAAGTCCTTGGACCCATTGATCCTTTCCAAATAGTTAGACTGGTAAAAACAATTTACTAGAATGCTTTTCGATCCAAATGCTGTGCCTACTTACAATATTCCATTCTCGATACAGGCTGTCAACCTGAGCACAGATAGTCTCAGTCCTAGCGATCAGATCGGGCGCCTTTCCGCGATCATATTGCTCAATCATGTGAAAGAAATCAGATAGAGCAAATGTCAATCTGGAGCTGACAATGAATTGTATGGCAGGGGTATGGTCTTTATGAAAGCCTCCATTCAACGCGAGGTTAGGGAGATTCACTTTCCATGTGTCTATGTTATCAGTCAATATCGGAGGGCTCTCATGGATAAGTCGATAACGAAAATCTTCCTGAACAAGAGACCAGAGGTTTATACGATCATGATCCTGGAACGGCCCTTCCAAAGAAGCTAATACCATGCCGTCTAATCGATCCACCTGGTGGAGATTTAAGGCCTTCGCGTATTTGCAAGTTTGTGTAAATAACTTCCGAGCCAGAGCGTGGTCAAAGTTTTCCAATGCGTTTTGCATCTAGAACTCCAGTATATTAATTATGGGGGTAATCCCTTATCTGGGGTTACTTGTAAGGGGCGAAAGGCTTACCATGAAACTTGCTGCGTAGAAATCGGCGATGGACCCTGTTGCGTGGCGCTGCCAGGCAGGAAGTGAACGAATACAGCATGAATAGATCTTCCGCGACAAGTTTCTTTCGAATTCTGACTTTTGGCGATTGGTAGCTAACCCTTTGTACAAGACGCAATGATATATCAGCATCATCACAGGGTCTACCCGAATGTAGGGGAGGTCCGCGATAGTAGGTAATACCAGCAGTAGCTCCCGGTTGATAAGACTTGGTAATGGCTCTCCAAAAGGATAGTCAATGTAGGCTAAAACTGTTAGCTTTTGTATGAGTATAGATGATATGTATAGAGCTTACCGTTTACCAACGACTTTGCCACATCTTTGGGAATCTCGAAATTCGCTTCGATAGGGACAAATTGGTCTGATGTGCTCACAGAAATTCTCTGCAGTTCGTGAACAGCACGGGACAACGTCCCGAGAGCATCTGGCGTTGACAGTCGTGTGAGAGGAACAATGGTCGGAGAACATGTCGTACTTTCAACCTCTGTGTCCGTCGTAGATCTAACTAAAAAATTGGCATCAATGGCTTCGTGATCCGTAGGCTCTTCGAGACGATTGCCGTTCAAGTTATGTTGCCGAGAGATTGTAGTTGAGTTGTGCGAGCGGGTGATTGAATCTATACTCGCACGAGGGCTGACTGGCGAGTTATATTGGTTTACTTCGGAGTTAGAGGAGGAGTCAACGGCCAAGAGCGTCTCCAATCGCCCCAAGCGTTCCAGAATGGCTCGAGACAGAGTGTTGGAAGAAGTTCTATCAACATCAGATTGCGAGTTAATGAGAATGGGTCGATTGAAGGATATGGAGACTGAATCTTACTCAGGCAAGTCATTTGCCGGTGCTCTACGCCGTCTTTTCACCCGGGCCGTATAGACACACTCGACGTGATGCTTTAGACAGCGCTGGCAATGTGGAAGCACTCGATTACAGCGTACCTAGATAGACCCTTCAGCATCCATTCAGAACACCGACAAATGTTGGTGTTGCTCACCTTTCGTTGTCTACAACGACGGCACTTTGAAGTAGTTAGTCGATCAGGAGTACTGCGTAGCACTGATAACAGGGATGCGGGCACGCTCTTACTGAGGTGTCGTGAAGCTGTTGGGGTACTTCGGTCATTGTATCGTATTATGTGTTATATTGGGAAGGCAAGACAGGTATTAGCATGAGTCGAAGGGGCAAGAAGAGTGGGAATCCGTCGTTTGGGCCAATGCAAAGACGAAAGATCAAGCATTTTGTCTAGGGCCAGGGAGAAGAGTAAAAGGTATGTATGGGGGCCGCGGACGCCGAGTGTTTTCCCCACTTGATACGACATCCATTGTAATTTTAAGGAGGTGAGACGGCTGATCCTCTCAAAGCAAACTACCAGACCTCACCTTATTCAGTTGTTCGTGGTTACAATGCCCCAGCAGATAACGATCGTAGGGTTCCAAATATAAACAACCAACCGGCTATTGTCACATCTACCCAAATTCTCCCTCTAACCAAAGAAGCCCCTCCCCGGATCATTATGATCACTGTAATCCCTTAGTTCCCCAAACCTCCGCTCACTACAATCACCATGATCCCGTGTGATCCTCCTGGATATATGTACACACTCTCATTAAATTTCTAGATGGACTCTTACTCGCTAGCTATCCATTCCAGTTACTACCGCCTTCATTTCGCCTTCATTAAAACCCCTAGCTCTTCAGTGCTCTTCAGTACTCGCGCATAGGTGACTCACTATCCCGTCCCGACACCTTGATCGCGGTATAAAAACCAATGAATTCCGAATTTAATGAAATGATACTTAGAAGATCCCATACTTGCTTCTTTTCCCTCGATTTCTTTATTTAAATATCCTCTTTCTCTATAAAGTATATACTTGGAGGTTTAAGTTGAATTAAATCCATTGTATTGAGATATCGCGGTCTACCATCTTCCATTGCTGTTGGATTTTATACTCAAATTCTTGTACGCAAGTTAAAGTAAATATATTATCTATACTTAAGTATACACAATAATGAGAATAGGATAGATATAATTTTAGTTAGAATTGAAGCTTAAGAGTTGATAGCGAGGTAATACTAGGAAATACTAACAAACTAGAAATAATTAAGAAGGAGTAGAACAAAAGAAATCAAACAATGGACAGGCAGAGGTCTTTGGGAGTGTCAATGGGATGAAATATTGAGAAAGCAGCCACTGGGCTCAGAAGCACAGTCCTTATTCCTTCTTAACCTTGCTTGCCTTAGGTACGCGGGCCAGCCAGTAAAAGAAGATAGCTCCGGCAATGTTGAACGCGATGTATGCCCATAGGAAGCCAAAATCCCTCCAACGATTGTTATAGTCGATGTTGATACCGGCCAAGAACTCATTCGTGTCCTTCAAGGAACAGTACTGGCATTGCTCCGTGCTGCTGCCGGAGTCATTCGCCAGATAGCCTCCAGCGCTCGACAGGTATTCAGAGAGGTAATCGGAGCAGCTCAGCCCACCGGCAGGCTCAAAAGTAACAATCTCGTTCGAGGCGCATGTGACTGGAGCATTTGCCAGGGTCGTACCAAGGAATCCTTCGACGACATATGTAAAAGGGTTGACCCGGTACATGAACACCCAGAACCCAGGCAGCTGTACCGGCCCGGCGAGGACACCACAGAAGGCAAACATCATGATAAAAAACAAATTGAAAATGCCACCGGCAAGGTCGGGACTCGGAAGCCCTGCAATCAGCATATGCTCAAAAGTACTAGCCATCAGGAAAAAGGCCCAGACTAGAAGGAATGTTGTGATGCCTCGTTGATGGACCTGGCCGGTCCACTCAGCGTTGCGATAGAGGCCAACAGGGAAATACCAAAAAAGAAAGGCAAAAACAGAAGCAACCTATAGTGTTGGTTGCCATGTTAGTAAATTGCTCTCACCTTATCTTAATGAAGCTGCAGCAGCGAAGGGCAATCACTGCCGCGAACTGGGTCCAGAAATACTTACAGAATTCCACACGAGCTCAATGGTGAGGTTTGAAAGGATAAAAGCCTTCCAGGAGTACATTTTGGAGGGCCTCTCGCGGGCCTCGTACAGAGTACGCTGGTCACAGAAGAATGGACCAATTTGGTTGGCGATTTGCGCAAACACTGTTAGAAAAGAGAAAACGGCAAACAGTTGGTTCTGGAGACCGCGACTAGTGTTGTCGCTGTTGATAATGGATAAACCGATGAAGAGAGCCTATTACACACACGGGGGGGATCAGTAATTTGCCGTCTTTCTAGTGCGAATCAGGACTTTGTAGGGGGGAACCATTACCGAGCCAGCCGTGAGAACAAACTTGGATAGAATATACCCGGGATTACGCCAGTAATGTTGGAATAAGCGGTTGGTGACACTTCGATACTGACTGAAGAGGGGGGCAGCAAACTCGTCGTTATAGTGGCCATCACTTTTACTGTCGTTTGGCGACACTATGGCATTGCTCTGTTGGACATTACTCAAGTTCATCAGCTCTTGCTGAACTTCAAGATATTCAGGTGAAGAGCGCCAGACTCCAGGCCAATCGATGACTGAGTGGGATCTGGGCGCGGCTCCGATAACCTCCAACATGTGTTCAGCTGGATTGGTTCCTCTTGGTCTCTCTGGGCCTCCATTGCGAGTAAAGTAATGCATGAGAGTGCTTGCATCCTTGCCTATCGGGCCGAAATAAACCGTTTTGCCACCTCTTGCTAGAAGGAGGAGACGGTCAAACCGCTGAAACAGCATGGCAGAAGGCTGGTGGATGGTACAAAGGATAGCTTGACCGTTGTTCGTAAGCTTTCTCATCAAATCACAGATAGACCATGAAGTTTGACTATCAAGCCCTGAAGTGGGCTCATCAAGGAACAACAGCAGTTGTGGCCGTGCAGCCAGCTCAACTCCAATAGTAAGCCGCTTTCGCTGTTCAACATTGAGACCCTCGCCTGGCATACCAACAACAGCATCAGCATATACTCCCATATCCAGTAGATCAATCACTTTATCAACGTAGGCCATCTTTTCATCATTGCTGTACTGCGGTGGTTGTCGGAGACGGGCGCTGAATTCTAGGGCCTCCCGGACAGTCGAGGTTGGTGAATGAATATCTTGCTGTTGTACATAACCAGTCTTCCGTTGAAAGGAGGAGTCTCGCTGACGACCATCTACCAGCATGTCGCCGGTGACAACACCTAGGGTGACCCTACTGGCAAGGACATCCAGGAGCGTAGTCTTGCCGGCACCAGAAACACCCTATGCCATGCTTGTTAGTTACGACGGAGGCACAGTACGTGTTGTCTCACGAAACTCTTGGGACATGTTGGCTTACCATCAGAGCAGTCAAGGTGCCGGGCTTCACCCAACCATCCACGCGGTCCAGAATCCGCCGTTCACCGTCCTTGACCTTGATATCATAGGAAACGTCCTTCCAATGGAAGATCGCTGTTTGTTTTTCAATCTCAGTTCTACCCTCTGTTTTGGTGTCACTGGTAGCTCGAACATCCGATGCCGTTGCGTTCCCACCAACTTCGTGGTCAGTTGCTAGTTGCTTCTTGCGCTCCTTGATGGCCGATCGCGGATATATCAAAACTTCGCCTTTTGTTCGTTCGGAGGTAATGTATTCCGCCGCCACGAGGTGGAGTGTCATAAAGAACAGCATGAGAGCGACAAGAATGCCCAGATTCCTCCATTTGTGCGAATTGATGAAATCAAATGAAGACTCGATGTACGCTGCGCCCTCAACGTAGGTCTGGCCAGCCACAGAGCCGATTGAATTGCAGACCCTCTCGAGGGAGGAAACAGACTCATACGAAGGCCCAGATGGAGTAAAATTTGAGCACGGGAATCTTCGGCCCGCAAACTCGTTCAAAAAGATACTCTCAAGTCCATAATAGACGGGATTGATCCACCTCAACCAGCCAAGCCAGACCTGCATATATCTTGGGGGTACAGCAAAGCCAGAGTAGATTACCAAAGCCAGTAATACAACGGATGAAGGCGCCATAGCTTGATCCATACTTTTGGTAATCGAACCCAAGAATCGAAAGAGCATGGATATCGTGAGAGTGAGTGTGATCGAAAACAACATAAAGGTGAAAAACGGACCCGGTGCTCGGTTTAGGTTGCACATAAAGTATATGGTGATATTGACCAGGAGAGAGTTAACCAGCTTGTAAGGAAGATCAGCGATCATACTTGCTAATGCCTCAGCACTAGGATGATAGAAAGCATAACGCGTATGTTTCCCGACAATCTTTCGCTTTGAGTATAATGAGATGATCTCCAGGATACTTCCAAGTGCGTTCATCAAAACGACAAAGAAGAGCAGTATAGTCCTGCGGAAAAAACTGGTTGTATCGGCTGGAAGATTGTAGAAAATGCTTGCAATAATGAGGGCTTCGAAAACATTGCACACAAGCATTGTGAGTGTAGTAGAGGGATCGCCAAGTAACAATACCCAACTCCTCCATAATATAATGGAGATCTGCTGCCAATAAGAGAGATTGAAAGGCGAGTAATGGCGCTGTCTCTTGGATTGATCAATCCTCCGAGAGTCGAGGAACTCCTGGTGATGATAACCATCAAAAGGATGTTCGTCTGCATATCGCTCGATCTCGTCAATCAATCTGGCGCGATATTCGCTGGCCTTCCAAGCCTTTGCGAAGCAGTCCGCAGTTCGAGGAGTCTTTCCTTCCATTCCAGGCTGGATGATTCTCTCGCTTGGACTGGTCATGGATGTAAGGAAGTCCGGAGTGGTCTGTTGCTCAGGGCAGACAAACCCTAGATTCTCAAAATAGGTTCGTGCCTGATCGGCTCTGCCGAAGAAGATCTGGCGTCCATCATAGAGGACAACCACTTTGTCGAAAAGCTACAGAGGTTCACGGGTTAGATAATGATAGTAAAGTAGGATCGTATAAAGCGATTTACCTCATAGGCGGCTTGAGGGGCCTGGTAAATGGATACGCAAGAAGTGAAGCCCATGATATCGGACTGTATGCGTAGGGTGCGGCAAAACTCGACGGCATTCGCACTATCGAGACCTCGTGTGCTATTGTCCCAGCACTGAAGCGGAGCATAGCCAAGTGCAGCTTCTGCAATAGTTACACGTTTTCTCTCTCCGCCACTTACACCACGAACAAAGTCATTACCTACCCGAGTGTGCTTTGTATGGCTAATGCCGAACATAGACATAGCCACATCTCGGATATGTTCGGCATACTCATGCCGAGATGCCTTGTCGGGTAAAGTATGAGGACACCTTGCCATAGCAGCAAAATATAAGGTATCACCAACTGAGAGTTGAGGGAAGTGATAGTCTGTCTCAGCGGTATAGATAGCCTCTCCTCGGTAAGCGGTCTTGATCTGTTCTGATCGAATTCCTTGATAATTGAGATATGTCTCCTTACCAACCTGGAATCCGTAAGTATCTCCAGCGATAGTTCGCAATAGCGTGGAACAGCCTGATCCAGGCGGACCAAGCACACAAAGCATCTCGCCTTTACGCACAACACCTTCAAAATCGCGCAAGATGTCGACTTTTTGTTTGTTGTTCTGACCAATCATCTTCTTTGTATAGTTCCAAGCGTTCAGGAAAACATGTGATACTGTTTTCTGTGAATCAACTGCAGTATTGAATCCGTAGACGTTCAATTGTCGAAATGCGAGCCCTGCTGTTCTAGGCCTGATGCTATCCGAAGCCGCCATTCGAGAACGATAATATGCTTTGGCCCATGCGCGAGCGTCAAACTTTTCGTCGTTGGGGTCGAGCGGGGTTCCGGCTTGAACGGGGAAAAGAGGTGCGTGCCCGGTGTTGGACTTGTGTGTTGATTTTCTCGCCAGTTCATTCAAGTCGGGAATGGATTGAACTTCATGTGTCTCATGACCGTGTCGTTCTGTGGCTTGTTCGCTCATGTCGGCGGTAACGCTGGAGGAACCACTGGAACACGGCTTTGCCGGATGGATAGTGGTCTTTTGCCCCGGATCAACAGAACCCATGATGAAGGCTTGTGGCCAAAAGAAAGACAAGACAAAGAGAGAGAAGAATTCCCGACGCGATTCCACTCAGGGAAGCTGGAAACTAATGATGAACGAGGAGTAGCTATGTAAAGCAACTTTGGAAGAGAGTATATATTGGATTACATAAAGTGATAGGAGGTTCACAAACTGGGATGGTCTCAATATTTGTACTCGTCCAGTCCAACACAAAACGGGGGAGGAACGAACTTTTCTTTTCTTTGAGAGTCAAGAAGTTGATTAGATGACTACAAGTTATAAACCCCTTGGTCAGTTTCGTCCTCCTCGGCAATCTCCTAACATCTGTGGCTACCATGGTCAAGACTTTCTGCGGGGCGTGTTAGAAATTAGGCCAGGGGACGGGCTCGGGGTTAGCCAAGACTTTCAAGGGCTGTGTTGGTCAACAGCATGAGTAAGTCAGGGTCCGCAACACCATTTCAGCCGGTGATCCGCGGACAGCCGATGTGGCCCATCATTTTTCGGCCTCTCAACGAGCGAAAGACCGCTCGTGCATTAGCTTCAGCTCACTCTAACGCTAAGCTTATCTTCTCTACCGACATCATCTGATTGGTTCTCAATTTAGGGATCCTAGTTTTAGAAGCGGCCAAAACACTGACCTCTGGCATTTGCAATGTCGGTCTTTGGGAAACCGAAAGTGCCGCCGCATTGTAGTCGTCCAAGAATGAGGAAACAATTTGCAGATCAACAGGCCCGGGCTCATCTGCAATCGCATGTTCCAAGTTTGAGGCATCGTGACACTCGGTGTGGATGAGTAAAACTGCAACTTGGGCTTTGTATTTAAATACAACCAGGGCCGCCGCCTTCAGACTTGATAAATCCATTGGTACCGCAGAAATACAACTTCAAAATACCCTTATACAACTTCGAAAACTTACTCAGAGACTGGCCTTGCCTCACAAAACTCATTCTGACATCCTCGTGACAGCCAACATGACTATCAACGAAGGCCAAAGCACTATGTCTCTTAATGATGGTAAGGGAGGCGCTCCATCAATGGATTGGGGGCATCAGTACCAGAATTTGCAGGAAGGAGGTCTGGCAGATGCCGACAAAGACCCTTATATTGGGGACGTTACTCACAAGGAACCCATCTTGTCGCCTGACTCCGATGTCAAAGCATTGGTGATTGGCGCCGGAATTCACGGTGTCTCAACGGCTTATCATTTGATCCACGATACTGGAATCAAGACAGAGGATCTGGTTATCATCGACAGGGCTGGTGGCTGGGGAGGCACTTGGTACTGGAACCGTTATCCAGGCGTCATGTGCGATGTGGAAGGCTATTCATATCTTCCCTTGTTGGAGGAGTCTGGCTTCATCCCAAGTCAGAGATAGTAAGTGGGCTCGACTAGACATTCATGTCTATTATTGACCACTAACTTAACGTGACGCTCCTTAGTCCTACCGGTTTCGAAATTCGTTCTCACATTGCGAAAACCGCCAACAAGTTCGGCTTCAAAGCGGACTTTGGGGTCACCGTCAAGGGTTTGAGCTGGGACGAGTCAAAGAGTCGATGGAATGTCAAGTTGTCCCGAACTTTGGCTGACGGCGGACAGTCCGAATCTTTTGATATTACGGCTCAATGGGTCACTCTCTCGACTGGGTTCTTACCTAACCCCCAAATTCCGAAGCTGCCAGGCTTTGCTAGCTTCCGCGATTCGCCCAGCAGGTCCGTCATGCACACTGCTCGTTGGGACTGGAATATCTCTGGCGGCTCGCAGGAGCAGCCTGATATGGTCAACTTTCGAGGAAAACGAGTTGGCATTGTTGGCACGGGGCCTACAGCCGTCCAAGTCGTCCCACACGTTGCCAAGTGGGCCGACAAGTTGTTTGTCTTCCAGAGGAATCCCGAATATGTTGGTAAACATTACCAGCAAGAGACAACAAGGGAAATGTGGGAGCAGGTCGCTTACAAAAGGGGATGGCATGTAGAGCGCATGCTCAACATGGACTACTGGTATGCCGAACTGCCCGGCCGAGTTGATCGTGTCCAGGATGGATGGACTGAGATTCCCGGGCTGAGGGGCTTGACTGGCACCCCACTTGACACAGTCAGACCCGGCGAAGAAGAATCGACCATTCAGAAGCTCTTGGCCCAAGATTATGAGTGGACCGCAAAGATGCGGCACAGGGTCTGCAGAGAAGTCGACGACCCTGTCGTTGCGGAGTCACTACAGCCAAGGGGGCCCAGCTTCTGCAAGCGGCCGGCTTTCCATAACACCTACCTTTCCAGCTTCAATAAGCCCAACGTTACCTTGGTAGACACCAGGGGTGCGGGTATAGTCGCATGTACTGACAAAGGAGTCATCGCTAACGATCAGGAGCATGAGCTTGATGTGCTCATTCTTGCAACTGGGTATACCAGCTCGGTCTTTGATAGCAGCCCCACCAGCGGTATCAAAGCTCCCATCATTGGCAGGAAAGGACGATCGCTCAAGGAGAAGTGGAACGGAGATGAGTTCGGCGTTATGTTCGGACTTGCCACCAGTGAATTTCCAAACCTTTTCTTTTTCACACCGGCCGGTTCCGGCTTGTCGGTCAACCTGACAGCCAGTCTAGACACTAACGCCCGGTACATTGCTACTATCATGCGACGAGCCCTTGAAAATGCGTCGGATCCCGCATCTGTTGTTCTGGAAGTCTCGAAGGAAGCAGAAGCCGAGTACACCAGGCAGAACACCGAGAAAGGGAGATGGTTTAGTGGCGTTGCCAGCTGCCTGCCTGGTTCAATGGTGAAGCCAGATGGCTCTGGATTCAGAGTTCGGACTCTTGAGGAAGACGGCCTCAAGCGAAATCCTTGGGGAGGAGGTCTTGTAGATTTCCGGCAAAAGTTTGAAGACTGGGCCCAGAAGGGAAACCTGCAGGGCTTCACAATCTCGTAGAAATAAACATGGACCTAGCTTACGGAAGGGGGAAGTGTCAGAAGGGTGGAATGATGTGGAAGATGGGGTAAGGAAAGGGTTTGGTAAAGGGGACGCCTTTGTCGAATGACTAGAAGCTTAGATATAGAATAGAATATGCGAAATCTGATGGAACATTTTTATTCTTCCCGTGATACCATACTTATCAGGATATTGAATAAAGACATGTTGCTACTGGAACCTTTGATTGTGACTACAACCCATAGCTATATTTCAAGCGTGGTTTACCTATTTATCAATACACTATCGTCAAAGGCCATAGAAACTAGACGAGCAGCTAGTAGCAGCAAAAGAGGCTACTCTCAAAATATTAAGCCTAGCCCACGTTGTGTGGAATAAACGTAATTGATACTTATGGCTCCGATGAAAACAGATATCTAGTACATCTTTCTCCAGGCCGGAGCCGCATTGCAACGGAATTCCCCTAAAAGCTTTGTCATCGACCAAGTTACTGCAATACAGAGTCACGTACATCATCTCCCACTCTAGTAGTTTGCGCGGATTGGCCGACAGAAAGGATGTCGATTACCTCATCGACTCCCCCCGAGTTGGATGAGGGGAGAAGAATATTGGCCCACTGTTTCCGGCAGCCGGACTTGCCAAGACACCGACAACATAATGCAGGGCTCGGCAGAATTCTTCCATGACTCAGCCTCTTCCATTCTTAGCAAAACTTTGTCCAGGCAGTAGCCCAGTAGAAGTGAAAGGTCGTGCAACTCTCCTTCGGCCTTTTCTCCAGTCCGCCATCTACTTCCTTTTGCGTTTCGTTAACAGTCCACATCTAACTCCAGCCTCCGCTCGCCATTTGCCCCTGTCCGAAGTCCGTCAACATCATGGCTGACCTGGAAGAGGAGGAGCTCAGTCCAATCTCAGTAAGTATCTACTCGCAATCAGCTGTGCGGAGCCTCGAGCAATCGCCTAAGCTCAGGCATGGCAGACTAACCTGTTGTCTGCTGAATGCGTGTAGTGCAAAAGATGTAGGGCAAAGAAGGTCAGTGCCGATCGTGGCGTTGTTCTTTATCAAGCTTGAATTGACACCGGAAAGATTCGCTGTAACCGTCGCATGCCTGTCTGTAATAGGTGCGAAGAACAGGATGCCGAATGTCTATATGCTCGGCGGGCACAGAGGAAACCCGTCCAGACGACTGGGGATCGAGTAGAGTAAGCGACACGTGAGCTTTGGCTGGCATGCTGGACAGTATTATTGACCGACCAAGGTCAATCGAGCGCGTATTGACCACTGTTCTACAACGATTAGACGGTCTCGAAAGCCGGCTGCATCTTCAAACCCAGCAGATATCGCCCCAGTTCAGTACAGCCCATGCAGGCGCATCACGGAACTACTCAGAACCGTCAGAGCATGTTGTTGATCATGTGGGCAGAAGCGTTGAGCTAGGAGCTTCATCTCCTACTTGTAGCTCCAGTCTTGCCTCTGACGGTCAAGGGTCACCATGGACCTCGTCAGAATCGAGTGCGACCTCTATCCTCCAACAGGCCGTTAATCAAGTACAGCACCTTGTAGGCCAGCACCGTAACTCTCTAATTAGTCCTATAGATGACTTTCACTTCGAACCAAAATTGGCCAAATCATGGATCAAGAGTGAGCTAGAACTGATTCTATCAACGTCCAGCAAGGATTCCCTACTCACCCTGGTATACTTCACACAGGTTACTTCGCCCATTTAAGCGAAGATCTGTTCCCAGCTTTCTTAAATGTCAGGCTCATTGAATTGATGCCGGACATCATCGGACTGCCCAATGTGCATCTTGACGCATCCATCTACGTTGTCTACTACTGCATTTTATACCATGGTTGCTTGCTCCACCAGCAGTCAACACCAGCTTCCGAGGATGTAGAAACAAGGAACAAGCTGTACCATCACTGCCTGCGCGCATTGCTAGCCTGGGAGCCATACGCCACGGGAACACCTACAGACTTTGTCGCCGCGTTCTTCATGGTGATACCCTCTCCGCCTTTGATCAAACAGAAGCATGTATCAGTGCTAATCACAGTTCTTCGACTAGGTGCGAGTGGCTGCGGAGCGGTTTGAACTTGAGCTCAGCTGGACCATGTTCAGGCGCGCCTGCCAGTACGCCGAGAAGATTGGGCTCCATCGCCTTGATAACAGCGTCGGCTCAGGCTTATCTAACCTAGGAAGCTCGGTGCTGGAAGCAAGCCGGAAAGGCTTCTGGGAGTTGGTTGGCATGGATATCTATTTCCACCTGATCCATGACAAGCCACCCGCGATAGTAGGTGTCGCCCGGTACGACGCACAAGTGAACCTCCCATGGGTGACTACGTTAGGCCTACAACAATCAGAAGGGGCAGAAACAGAAGAGATAACCACTCTTCGATTCTTGATCGATTCACGGCGATCGTTTATCCTGATGGAGTTCTTGCAGTTACTGGAAAATACCAAAGTCAAGCCTGATCGGGAGCTTGTTTCGAAGACGGAGGCGCTGTGTCACAAGATTGAGGCATTATATGAGCAATGGGAAGTCGTAAGAGAGCCTCAACCCCAAGAATATCGATGAGATTGGAGCATATCTAACGCTGCAAGTGATTAGGATGAGTGGGTAAAGAAGATGATCGTGTCCGATGGCCAGTTGTGGACGCTTGCTGGGCTGGCCATGGAAGGATACATCTGTATCCTCTTCATGCTCCGCCACGCCATCACTACGGCTACTCCTCACACCACGGGGACTGAAGCGATTGATATCGAGGTTGCCAAGCTTCCTTTGACACTCAAAGTGTCCCGCCATGTCCTCCAGATGGTTGACCTTCTTCTGAATGCTATGCCCTTCATGGCGACCGTCTCGGTCACATTTGCCGTCTTGCAAGCACACTTACCGTACGCATACTTGGTCAGCAACCTGTTATATTCGACAACATCACATAGGTTTGGAGAAGACGCTGCCTTACTGAAACGTGTTTTCAATGGACTAAAGATGATTTCGAGAAATGTAGTGGAGTTGGAACCGCTAACTGCGGCCATTGAAAGGTTGAACATGATGGTGTCTCGCCGATTACGACAGGATTCAATAGATGGCCTTTAGCTTGGTAATGATGACGCTATATTTACATGCAACATTTTCTAAAGTCTACTAAGAACAAAGTAACCCTAGAGCAGGAGGATGACAGACGAGGCTCCAGTCATGAATGAGGTGGGCACATATTGAACTCGTCTCCTTTTCTCGTCTTTCTTTTTTTGTTAAGGACAAGTCGACTTCTTTTGACTTCCCATGATAGAGCCTCCAAAGATGGAAAGTGGAGGTGTGAGAATGCATCCGCGTGTCCTCGTCTCTACATCATCATCATATGATTCAGCCTCCACTTTTGAAGCCAAGTCGGTGCTGGAGTCTTGGCAAAGCGCGGAAGAATAATCACATCCATCCTAGTATACCGTAGCCAATGAGGGATCTACAAGTCGATTTTCCAGCTACTGCCGTCCAATGGGTCTCTGGGTTACGGTGTAATGACACGGCAGACGGGGAAATCTATGTACTTAAGAATTATTGCAGAAACTTTCCAGCAGCAGCAACCTGGCTATAAATAAGTAAAGACCAACTACCACCCACTTCGTCCGATAAAACAGAGCCAGACTCAACATCACCGCATCAACTCGAGCAACAAATCAGGCAAGTCACAGCAGATAGCAGTTCGAAATGGCCATACCAGAGGAATTGATCGAAAAATATGCTGCCGAGCGGACGAAGCGACTCCGTCCCGACCAGGTCGCTCAATATGTTGACTTTCGAGACCCTGTGCTTTCTGGCATGGATACCGACCCCTACGTTGACCACGACGCTCTTGCTTCCAAAGACTGCCCGCTTAGGGATGGATCTGAGGTCAAGGTTCTCATCGCTGGAGGTGGGATGCTGAGCTTGATGGTCGGTCACCGCCTGGTGACTGAAGCTGGCATCAGCAGCACCGACCTCGTCATTGTTGACAAGGCGGGAGGCTTCGGGGGCACGTGGTACTGGAACCGGTACCCCGGTGTCGCGTGCGATATTGAGGGATACTGTTATGTGCCTCTGCTCGAGGAAACTGGCTACAGGCCCAGGCATAGATAGTGAGTTGGCAAAGTGGTCAAGTCGATGATGTTTCACTCCTGCTCACAAATGAGAATAGTTGTCACGGCCATGAGATTCGAGAACATCTTGAACGGATTGCTCATACATGGAATATCCAAGGCCAGTTTGCAACTACAGTGACTGGTCAAAGCTGGGATGAAGATGAAAAGCGCTGGGTCGTCACCTTGAGCCGCAATCTAGGTCCCGGTCGTGAGCCAGAGCACCTTACTGTTCGGTCACAGTTCTTGATCCTGGCCGGCGGCATACAGACGGCCCCTCACGCCCCAAAGTTGAATGGAGTCCAAGTCTTTGGCAGTTCTCCAGACAAGATACTCATGCATACTGGACGCTGGGACTGGTCGAAGAGCGGTGGATCACAGGAGAACCCAGACATGGTCAAATTCCAGGGCAAGAGAGTCGGCATCATTGGAACGGGTGCCACAGCGGCCCAAGTCGCCCCTCATTTGGCAAAGTGGGCAAAGCATCTCTACGTCTTTCAGCGCACGCCGTCGTACGTGGGACCGCAGGTACAAAAGGAAGTTACAGATGCAGATTGGGCCCAGGTGGCTAATGAGCCCGGTTGGCAATATGAACGGATCAAGAACCTGGACGCCATGTTTACGGGAAAGCCGGATGTCGTGAACAAAATACACGATGGCTGGTCCAAGGTACATGGAATGAGAGCCATGGCGGGCTATTCAGGCAAAATCATCACTCGAGAAATGGAGGAACAACACGTCAAGGACATGATGGATATAGACCATCCATGGGCGGAAGAAATGCGCTCACACGTCGACGCCGTGATCAAGGACCCGTCGACAGCCGAAAAGCTCAAAGCATGGTACCCTGGCTTTTGCAAGCGCCCAACCTTTCACGGAGTCTATCTCAGCATCTTCAATGAACCCAATGTGACGCTGGTTGACACAGACGGCCAAGGTGTCGAGGCTTACACCCCAAATGGCGTCATGGCTAATGGCAGTGAATACGAGCTCGACGTTCTTATATTGGCAACGGGTTACACCGTTGGATTGGTCGACTCCTGCCCTTCATCCGCACTCGCTGCACCTCTCACTGGACGAGACGGCCGGTCGTTGAAGAGTAAGTGGGATGGAGAAGATTATGGCACCTTCTATGGTGCCATAACTAACGGATTTCCAAACCTCTTCTTTGCCTCGGGGAATGGTGGCTCAGTGTCCCAGAATGCGCACAGCTTTTATAGTCTCATTTCTCGACTGATCGCACACATAGTCAATAGGACTCTCGAACGTGCACAGAACCCGGAAAGAGCAAGCGTCGAAGTCGAAAAGGGCACCGAGGATGCCTGGTCGGCCAAAATTGCGGAGCGGGCGCGATGGTTTGCTGCTTTCCCTGCCTGCACCCCGGGATATTTGACTGGCGAGGGTCTTCTCCAGAGTCAGACAAACCTCACAGAAGAAGAAGAGCATGCAATGGCCATTAGGTCCTATTGGGGTGAAGGTATCCTCAGCTTCCAGGAGATTGTTGAAGGGTGGATGGAGGGGGCCAAACTCCAAGGACTGAGAGTTGACTCCTGATTGGAGACGCATAATAGTCGCAACAATCCAACCCTTTGCTGTATATGTTTGAGCTATCAATAGATTCTCTGAAACCCAACCGCCCATATTAATGAGAACGTAGCATTGGCATAACTCATCACGTAATGAACCATCCAAGCGAATATTTAGATAAGAGCAGCGGTACATGCAGGGCTAAGAGGACTAAACTGCATTCACTGCGGCTTTATTATTAATCCTGACCATTGTCTTGAGCGACGTTTCTAGCTCAAACGATGAGCTAGTTTATGATAAGCCGACAGTACTGCAGTATCAACTTATTTTCACTCCTCCTGGCTACGCCGTATTTCCTTCTGACACTATAATAGAGTAATGATAGCAATTCGGTCAAAGCCGCCCCTATTCCCCAAGATCAAAACATAAAATTGCTATTAAGTAGCGAATCATGAGGCGCGAGAGGCGATTAAAACGAAGCAAAAGAGTGATATTAGCTGACAAACTACGACATGAAAGTGATAAATAGGCCACACGACCAGCATAGCTCTAAGCCAAAACCATTCCTTCTATGATATAGTAATATAAATGCATCCTACCAATTGTCACTGCAGAACTTAAGCAGCAGCTGTTGGCCAGTCGTTGTAACCCTGCTCCGGCGAAGTATAAGGGCCATACAGCACAGTATCACCTCGATCATTCTGAGCAAGGGGAATTCCATACTTGATACGGGTAATGAGGTCCTGTTTATTGTTAGTTGATGGGTTGGAAAGAGAAAAGGACCAACTTACAGGGTTCCAAATGAAAGGACGGGCGAATGTGACCAAGTCGAGTTTTCCCTCCTTTACGAGTCGATCTGCTTCCTCAACAGTGTACTCGTGGTTGGCCATGAGCAGAGAAGGGCTCCCTGGGTACTTAACCAAAGGGCCAAAATCCAGAACCGGGTCGTAGCCAAGTGGCAGTGGATACCCTTCAGGCCGAGGGAAGTTCTTAGTGAACGAACCATCGCCCACGGTTAGATCGGTACCTCGGCGCGATATGTTGATAATTCCAACCTTCCTTGCAACCAATTCCTTGATAAGATAATCATAGGTTTCCTTCAGATCCGCAAATGTCATGACTGTGTCGTGTAGAACATCAGTAGGGTTGATCTTGACACAAATAAGCTCATAGCCGCCCCAGACATCGCCGATAGCATCGACAACTTCCAGCAAGAAACGGCATCTGTTTTCGACTGAGCCACCGTAATTATCTGTGCGTGTGTTGGCCTCACTAGATGTTTTTATCAGCATCGTGACTTTTTCAATGCAATTTTTCTTTTCAAAGACTCACGGCACTAGGAACTGTTGAACCAAATAGCCACTTTTTGATGAATCAGCTTTCATCCCATATTGATAAGTTCAGACAGTTAGTTCTGGAGATAGCCATACCCTTGGGCAAGAAGTTCGATGCCATCAAAGCCAGCACGTTTAGCAAGTGTTACCGCGCGTCGATACATGTTCACGATCTCAGATGGATTCTTGATCTCTGTCAGATTCGCAGTGTGTCCCTGTTGAGTCTAGCTTAGTAAAATTCTTTCGCCACTTATGGGACACTCATATTTACGGGAACTCCAGGCAGGTCGCGGTACTTTCCACCCGAGGCCTGGAGGGGCGACGCAGCGAGAACGGGAAGGCCTCTCTCCTTGAGAGCCGGCATCAGGTCATTCTGGCAGCGTCCTACCGCAAGTTCAGTTATCTCTTCGTGATTCTCATGGATTATTTGACTTACCGGCATGCCAAGGCTGGAAAAATATCTTGCCGCCTGCCTGATGGACTCCATCCACGACTTTCTGCCAAGCCTTGCAATGGTCCTCTGATATCATGACAGGCGCTTTGGTCCAGTGAGATCCGGTCCAGTCAATAAATATTCCTTCGCTAATAATGAGACCAGTTCCGTCCTTTGCCCGCTGGGAATAGTGATCGATCTGGGCCTGGCCCGGCTTCATATCATCGACACACCTGTTTCGAGTCATAGCACCCATGACGACTCGGTTCCGCAGTGCAAGCTTACCGCCGCCAATGGTAATGGGTTCCAAAAGACTTGACATTGTAAAATGTTGTCTGGTGATCAGGACAGGTTATGAATCAGTGGCTGTAAGTGCTAAATATGATTCTTCTACCAGACCGTGGAATTCAACAGGGAGAGCACTCTTTATATATCCAGATTCCACCTCATAAACCGTCTCTTTTCGTCAGCCATCTCCCTTACTCTCATGTATCAAGAGCCTGTCATCATCATTAGATGGAGCAATAACAGCACAGGTGCGGCGGACAAGGCTTTCCGCGGGGCCGCAGCCAATCCTATGCCGCCATTCCCGATCCCTGTCCAACCGGAGCTGATCGAAGTGGGCTTTAGCTTGCTTTCATTCGTCGTTTCTATGAACAGTCCGCCCGCTGGAGAGTAAAAGCGGATCCGGAACATCTCCGACCATGGCGTGTTATTAGGCGTTGCTAATTGCTAAACAGAGTCTGCTGACAAATTGTTCAACACGGAATGTCCAACAACTGAACCAGGTTTATCCTCAACTGGTTTGTGCTTGCAGAATTCAAATTATACCGGGTTTTTGAGGCATTTCAAGCCAGCATGCGATCATGAAGTACCCCAAGTCTTGCCGCCAATGCCGGCAATCCAAGCGCAAGTGCACCCGCAAGGGTCCCGGAGAGCCCTGTGATACATGCCAACAGCGCCGGTTGAGATGTGACGGCCAGATGAGGAGCCACTCGGCCGCCAGTGCACCCTTGACCCCTTCTGTTCCCTGGAAAGATCCCCGATCGTCTCGTACACAGGCCCATTCTGAAGAGGAGACTCTTCCGGGTCTCTCTCGTGGAATCATTGTGGAGCTCGTGGGACATTATCTGAGGGCCATTCACGACAAATCCCACAGCCTCTTCCATCCACCCACGTTGCACTCTCAGGTCCAGAATGGCACCATCGGGAAGGCCCTTCTGTATGCTATCTGTGCCATTGGATCCAAATTCTCGGCCAATCCTGAAGCAAGGGCACTGGGTCCTTGTTTAGCAGCCAAGTCGAAGCAGCTATTACTGGCGGATCTTGAGAATATATGTCTTGAAAACCTCCAAACTTGCATATTGGTTGCAACACTGTGTGCTGGTAATTGTACCAGAGGCACTGAAGCCCTTTTTTTGCGTGAGAATTTGCCCTGTCCTCAAGAAATCAGAAGTCGATCTAACCTCCACAAGGTATTGCGCACTCCATGGCCGATATAATAGACCTGGACACTCCAACTCCAGGAGACACCATTATTGTCAGTGAGTGCAAGCGACGAACCTGGTGGTCGCTATTCTACTCAGACCGGTGGTGCGTATACGGCCTTGGTCTCCCAAGTCAGATGCGAGATCCTCCCGCAACATTCTCATTGCCGATGAATGAGAAAATGTTTCACAATCTGAGGCCTGACATCGATATCATGGATGGTCCCTGGCAACCTGGTCTCTGGGCTCAGAAATTGGCGCTCGTCCGATTTTTTATTCCAATACTAGAGCTGAACCGGCTTGCTGCAAAGCATAAAACTTCTACCGCGGAGTGCGAGCTAGAGGTTGAGACCTTGGCCCAAAAGCTCAAGAATTGGGAAGACTCTCTACCATATTACGCCCAGATGAACCTTGGGAATCTCCATAGGCAACAGGAAAAGGGAATGGGAGGAGTACTTCTCACTCTGCATCTCGTATACCACCACTACTCGATACTGCTCTTCTTTCGCTTTCTCGAGGACCAAAAAACTGACTCTACCGTCAGCCGAGCATATGCCACTCGTTGCAAATCTCACGCCACCATGTTCAACTCTCTTCTCCGTCAATCCCGACAACTGAAGGCATGCGAGGCCGTATACCCCGTAGTCGGCCATATGGTGACAGTGGCTTCAGCAGTCTTGCTACACACGCTTTTGTTCGGCGACTTGGAGGAGAGTCGAGCCGCGAGACAAGAACTAGAAGAGAATTTCGAAGCTCTCCTCGAGTTAACACAATATTGGCCTTCAGTGTCTAAAATGGTATTTCCTGCACCAAGTCATTGGGATCAACTATCCCTCATGTGATGAGACGCTAACTCCGAACGAAGATCAAACGATTGAATAGGTTCCAGAACATGTGCCTTCTTTCAACTGATTCTCGTCCTCATCAGTTAGATGGATGGATGGTGAGGTTTTTAATCGAGCGCGCGATATCTCTGACAGATAGGCATCTAGACGCAACACCGACCATGCCTGAGTTGGATTCAGAGGTTATATCATCTAAAGCAAGAGAGTTCTCACAGCTTGGGAGATTTATGAACTTCAAAGATTCGTAATTTTTGTGTTTTTCTAGTCCTGGCTTTAGGGGATGCGCGCCGGCATTAGCCACTTCAGTATCATGACCAGACGCGATGCCATGCGAGTGGCGTATTCTTGTATTGAAAAAATTAACCATGGGCCAAGGCAAAGAAATTCAGGAAAATTAAAGTCATTCAAAATCATTGTACTCATAACCAGATGGTTCTGCATGTCAAATTGAGGAGTTGAAGGTCGACATTTACTCATAGGTTGAGCATTGTGGCTGGAAGGAGAATTGGGGCAGCTCATTATAAAGAGTTATTGCAACGCCACACATCAAGAACTCGAAGTCGTCTAGTTGGTTTATGGCGCCAGACTGTAATCGCATGAAAGCATATCTGGATGTCAGCGGTTCGACTCCGCTCTTCGAGATTTCTTTTTTCCCTTTTTTTAAATTTGTATTCCTCCTCTATCATCTCTTTCATGAACAATGCTGTTATAATCTTTTGGTACAAATTGAGAAAGAGAATCCAGGCAATAAAACACTGACTCTGGAAACCACATCACGTAGAAAAGTTTTCCCATGCGCTATGTTCTTATAGCGCATAATGTTCTTGTGGCGCATGATGTTCTTGTGGCGCATGATATTATTGGCATATGAGAGTTACCCTATACCTCGAATGTGATCCTGAGTCAACATTTTTATCACCGCAACTTAATGGTCTCACATGAGCTAAATGCTAATTGACATGGAGTAATGTTTAAAATGAAAGCTATATGAATCTGAACGTCGGTTCATAATGCCATCATGTAAAGTTTGACTTTGAAAGTTGCAATTGCAAGCATGTTGAGCGGTTCTTGAAGGTTCCACCAAAGTGAGACCATCATAGTTTGAACCCACACTATAAACCACCATGACCTTTACGCGGACAAGATACCGTAGATGATTAGACCATGGCTGATAAAATCAAAGGAATTAAATCTCAATCACCTGATGCATGCACAATACTGGCTTTAGGGTAGGTTGAAGTGATTGGGCGTCCGCCACGGGGTTTTGGCAAGGGGCGAGCTATTAATAAGGCCCTGGCTAGAGGCTTAATGAAAGCCCTCAAAACTGGCTGGTTGAAATGCCCAAGCCAACGTGAGCGCGACATTTTCTCATCTCAAAATTGACAGGCCACGGTGGTTGTCACCCGCCATTCACTTTTTGAAGCTTAAGAGCTCATGTCACTCTTGTTTGTTGAGCTGATATGACTCCTCAATTGGGTCATTTAATTGTCATATCCCCTCTTTCGTATTGACTTGTGCCGCTCGTTCACGAGGTAGAGCAAATATGATGTGGCTGATGGTATGCCGGCTTATTAAATATTGATTGAAGCGACCGAGCTGACTCAGGGGATCATTGTCCTGTCTCGGTCGGAGTCGCAGGTGTAAATGTGGGTGCAGGATCGGGACTTGGGGAGCCAGACGGCCAATCACCATCGCTACAAAAATAGCTGGATCGCCAGACCCCTGCTGATACCGCAAACCAAAGGAACAAGCGCTCGTCAGCGCAATCGGAGTCGGTTCCTGGCCTCTCCCTCGCGCTCAAAACACCGTGGGATATATAAGATGGCAGGCCATGCATCTCACTTGTTGATTTTGCCACTTCTTCTCTTCTCTAACTCTTTTCCACTTTTCCTTTTCGCCCTTTTCGTTTTCAGTTCTCTTTTGTGTTTCTTTTGTCTTGCGTTGTGTTGTGTTCCTCTTCCGTAGCCCTGTCATTTCATCCATTTCTTCTTTCTCGCTTCTTCACCGGGAACATCCACAGGATAATGGAATATCCCTGGCTCAGAATCGCCACTGGCTTGGTGTTTATTTTTCTGGGCATTTCCATCTACATTGCTTTGCTTGCCAGCCGAAGACTTTATTATAAGCCCTATGGAATCCGCGCTGGCGTGTGGTGGCTCAAGGTGTCAGCAGCACTAGTGATACTGTGAGCGATGGCTGTCCTACATTATGAATCTCGACTGCTAACATTGTCCAGATGGCAGGCTCTTTGGGTCCTGGTGCCCCTTTCGGAGATGCGGCCCTTCGTCTCCATATTCCACCTCGCATTCACGGGGCATCTCATGGCCTTGAGCGAACTATTATCGGGCTTTAGCTACTCCACCGTTCTCTTCTCCCAGCTTGTCCTTGCGTGGGGTTTCAAGACGAACCAGGCCAGCAACAACAAGCTGAGGCGATGCCTTGCTTGGGCATTTTGCCTGGCCATGGGTAGCTTGATCGTGATGCGCTTCGTCATCGTTGAGCTCCTTGCTCGGAGGTCATGGTCAACAGACTTCCCTCACTTGAGTTTCATGATTGCCGAGGGATCCATCTACGCCGTGCTGCCGACATGGTTGATCAGCAGCCTTCTCTTGATGGCAGCTGGAGGCGGCTTGGTTTACTGGGTTAATACCAGGCCAGCACGCGCCACTCATGTATGCTCCTCTTCCCTGATATGTTGCGAGGGTAGCGATTCTAATTCTAATTGAAATAGGCCTCTCGACTGATGACGGCTGTTCACAGCCTCAGCTTCATTCGCCATCTCTACGAAACCATTTGCCAGTTTGTCGAGCCGACCGAGGGCCCAATCGATATCCTTAGCATGGGCTCGAGGACCTTTCGACTGGTTCCAAACACGATATTTATCAATGGGACAATGGTGGCTTGCCTATGTCTCATTTATCGCATCGCTTTCCAGTATAGCGATGATCTTCAAGAGGAGTGGCGGCAAAGCAAAGAGTACAGCCATGACTCCGAGTCTGAGGATATTGTTGCCTTTTAGCGGCGCAATTCTCAACTGATTTCTTTCTTTTCTCTATACCGATTTGGACACGGGATTGATCCAATGATTTACATTTTCTTCTCTTCTTCCTTTCTTCTTCTACTTTCTTCTTCTCTTTTTTTCTTCATTTTTTTTTCTTTTCCTATTTCAATTTTATGACCTTTTCCTTCTTCTTCAAAGCTGCATATGTATATATTTATCCTTCTGGAATGGCACAAGATGCCGCAGCATTTTATATATGACATTGAGACACAAGATCTCGTTTCCTATTCATTTTGCATCTTCTCTATAACTTTTAGTGTATCTTGGGTGTATTATTCTTTCACAGTGAAAGTTTGTAAAAGATTGGGTATAATTCGTCACCGAGTCTAGTGATGGGCAATTGTAGGGGCAGTCTATGACTCTGTAGCACTTTCCCATCAATGGCTCACGATTTGGCAGTCATGACACGTATTTTGAGGCTCAAGCCAAATTATGAATGAGTTCACACAGTGCAACACGCGTCGCGGTGACATCTCATTACCGTTCGCAGACATTCCAAACCCGGATGATCCGCATAAAGAAGAACCCCTAATTAACCCCTCATTGTGAACCACCTGACACGATCACCGGACCCATCGGAACAAGCTAGCTGCAGCTCCCCCTTCCTTCTTTATTCCATCGCGGGGTTCCAACGGCTGGAGTAAACGTGGAGAGATTGATATCACATACCAACGTTCACGCCGTTGCATCGCCAAAAATGTCCAACAAGGTCATCGCGCACATCGACACCCCGGATCCCTGGATGGTCCAGGCCAATGGCGTCTACTACCTCACCTTCACCCTGGCCAACCGCATCGAGATCTGGGAGTCGCCGCTGATGGAGGACTTCTTCAACGCCCGCAAGGCCCTCGTCTGGCAGCCCGAGCCCGGCTCGCGCTGGGCCGCCGACATCTGGGCGCCCGAGCTGCACCTCATCAAGGGCGTCTGGTACATCTACGCCACGGCCTCGCAGCCGGGAGTGGGCAACCCGGGCCACCGCACCATCGTCCTGCGGTCGGCACGCCAGGATCCCATGGAGGAGTCGGCGTGGGAGTTCCTCGGCCCGCTCAAGGGCATGCCCGAGGCGTTCAGCATCGACGCGACCGTCTTCAGCCCCAACGGCGAGGACCTGTACATCTGCTGGTCCGGGTGGCCGGTCGGCGACAACTCGGACACCAAGCAGGACCTCTACGTGACGCAGATGATCTCGCCCGAGGAGGTCGTGGATTCGTCGATCCTCCCGCCGGCGTGCATCGCGTGTGCCGACCTGCCGTGGGAGCGGTTCGACGGCGGGAGGCGCGGGATCAACGAGGGTCCGACGTGGCTCAACCTGCCCAACGGCGCATTCACGGGGATCGTGTTCTCGGGGCACGCCAGCTTCACGAGCGAGTACAAGCTGGGGCTGCTACGACTGGTCGCGCCGAATGCTGATCCCTTGGATCCAAAGTCGTGGGAGAAGAGGCCGGTGCCGCTGCTGATGAACGACAAGTCGATGCCTGGGCCGTATGCTCCTGGTCACGCCAGCTTCCTGCTCAGCTCCGAGCCGGGAGACGACAAGGTATTCTGCATCTACCACGCGACGGACAACTGGGGCGAGGGGTTTGCCAACCGCAAGGCGCGGGTGATGGTGATGGGACCGGAGCACTTTGCGCCAGACGCACAGCCAATCTGCTGCTCCAAGGCACCCGACAATCCTTTCTGGAGAGGAGGTGCTGCCGTTGATCCTCCCCAGAGTTCGCTCTCGAGGAGGTCTACGGCGAAGCAGAAGATTGACGAATTTGCTAGTAAGGCGCCTGCTCCTGTGAAGAAGGCGTTGGATAAGGTGCAAAAGTTTTTTTAACCGAAAATGCTGCGATTAGGCTTGAGCATCGTGCTTCATATATCTTCCGACGATGATTTTCAGATCGGTCGCTCTTCTTCCTGACGTCTGACGCCGCGATCGTTCGAGTTTTGGGATCGGAATCAATTATGAAGCGACGATGATTTATTGATAAATGAGAAAAAAGAGAATTGCATATTTGCGACTGTATGATACGACGGAATTCTGCATCGAAGCTACCTCACCTACCCATTATCACCAGTCTTGTACATTGGATGGTGCTGGTGATGATGAGGGAGATGAAGAATCTTGATCGAGCGCTAGAGTGCTGAATGTTTGAGAGTGTAGATTTTCTCGTGTAAGGAGTCTTGATGAATCTCGAGGCAGGATGCATATCACAGCAACCAATTGATTGCTCGGCTTAGATGTGAAAAGAAAAACAAGTTGTCCGTGATGATTCTAACCGCAATCCAGAGGTACAGGCTTCATACGGGAACATTGAAGATAAGATAACCTCTGTTTAGCGGACCTAAGACACCAAATTACTGGAAACATAGCGCTTGTAGCGGGACCCGCCCCCCTAGAGAAGCAAGTGACTACGCTGAAGGCCACTAACTCCCTCCTGCAGAGGCTTGAGAGGCTTCATCTTCAACAAAAACAAACACCAAATGACAACCAGCCAACTCGCGGATCCCATCTCGCCACTCGTCGCGCTCGTCTCCATCTACGAGCGGTGCAAGGATATCCTGAGGTCGGTCGGCCATGAATGGTGCCTGAACAATCACGACCAAAAAGCCATCCAGGCGCGCATCGCGACAGAGCACCAGCAGCTCGAGGAATGGGGTCATAGCATAGGGCTCGACGGGCCCAAGAAGGCTCAGTTGTCTTCCAGCTCGGATGGCTATCTCCTAGACCGCGATTTTCACGAGAGTACGCAAGGCATTTTGGAATCCATTGTGAGCATCTTTGAAGAGACCATCGCAGGCCTGGCACCGCACTACGAGCTGCCTCCTCCTTCCTCCGCACCTCCGACCGGCGTGACGGATATCTCGCCCGCATCTAGTCGTTCCTCTCTGCTAAAAATCCCACTTCGCGATGGCACCGCCAGGACAAAGTCCGCTTCATGGCGTTTGCCGAAACGGTCCATTATCACATTGGGGTTTTGCTGCAGAAGCTGGACTACTTTGAGAGCGTGACAAGTGGCTGAAGCTGGCAAAACGCCTAATCTGGTTCCGAGAAGACTCTCCTAGTTCAAGACTCGGTTTATCAAGTTCACGCTGAGATTGAAATGCATTTACCGATTCAAGTTTCGAAATGAACTGGCTGGATATCAGCAATATGAAGTTTTGTCTATTTACTCTATGTTTAAGACCGAGATACCGAAAGACATGCCGCTAGATATGACGAAACAGGGTGGTTATGCGCAATATTAAACTTCTTCTTAAGCTATTAGGCCTTCACCGCGCTGACGGCCTGGAACATGTTCCCAAGATCCTCGGCGGTCTTGGCCTTTGCGGGCTTCTGGAACCCTTCCTTGTATGGGATGCGCTCGTGCTCTGCCAGCATGTTAGTAAAAGCCCATCAATCAAGTACAAAATGGACACGGATGCTGTGAGCTTAGGAGACCTACCGAAGAACGTCTTGACCCATGTCTTGGGAGCACCGTTCCTGGCACCGTCCCACAGAGTGAGAAGATACAAGGCTGTCGTGCCGCGTGTTACCATGGACTGAAGCTCGGAGGCATCGAAGTCCTTGTTCGCTGCCTTTGCCACTACCTGCCGAGCGTTGCGTGCTTTCGCCGCGGTCTCAACAGTCACGATCTTGTCGCCCTTGCAGATGCGGTTGAGACCAAGGTTCTCGGCCACGGCGTCCCATATTTCTTGGTTGTAGTGGAGGTTGTCACCGAGAGCCAGGTCGCTACGGGAAAGCGAGCCGTCGACCTCGACAATGCCGTGTGCCTTGGGCGAGACCAGATCATCCAGGTTGAATGTGGAGTTGGGGGCGTTTGTTGTGGAGATGCCGTTTCCTAAAACATCGGCCACCGCAGAGTCGAAGACTCCAGGAGCAAAGTTGAAAGCTGCACCGGTTGCGTAGCGAATGTGTTCGAGGGTGATTTCTTTCCCGGATCGAGGGAGGAATCCGTGATTCGCCATCACGTTCAAGCCCGGGCACGGGGATCGGCCTGAGTGAAATTTGTTAGTAAATGCTGAAGCGTTGAAGCGGAACGAAACTGCTCACGATCGTCGCCTTTGGGAGCTTGATACTCATTGCCTCTTGGCTCTGAATAGTGTGGCCAGGCGGTAGCCGCCGTGTATAGGATGGTACTGGCGAGGAGTGAGAGCTGCATGATTCTAATGAGGCTGTTGTGTCTTGTATTGATAATACGGAAGAAGTATGATGCCAAAGATTCGGAGCTCCAACACTTCTATATATTATATACTCGTCCCCTCTAGATAGGGCTACTATTATAACGATGTAAGATTAATCCGCCTGTCTTCTGCGCCTCAGGGAATAGGCCCAATGGCGAGTCGTGGGATCATCGCAGACTGGAGCGTAATACGCAATACGCTATACGCAACGACATCCCCACCGCCAAGAGATTAGAATTATTCACAGCCTCATGCCGGAAGCATGTTCATTTGTCTCCAAGGCATTTAATTAATAATTCATGAATCTGATTGGTTCAGCGATCAGCTTCGGCTTTCTGGAAGCAAAATCGAAGCAAGTCTGACCGGCATCATGGCTTTGCTACCACATCTCTAGCTCCACCTACAAGCAGAAGAGATGACGCTAATGAAGATGGAAGCTTGCTCCGCCGATATCTGAGCCTCTGCGGTCTAGGCCGTGGATATGCAAAAGCAATCGCCGGTCAGAATACGCATCTACCGTCGTATCATTGACTGTCCTTTCTTCCGCCATTTCCTGGGCCACTGCCTCATGACACTACTGATATGGGTCATTGGGCTGAGAATGATAAGGTTGAGTTAAACTATAATAAGTAGAGCTTCAATGCCATTTCTTCGCTCTATCTCAATACCACCTGGTTACACAGACCAACTGAATTCAGCCAGCACGGGATTGTGATCTGATACAATATTTCCATCTGGCTGCTTGAACACGTCGGATTTATAACTGAAAGAGTTCGCATTCAACTTGACTGAGTCACCGGAGCGAAACCTATAAAGACATTACGTTAGACTAGGCCAAAGATTGATGGTCTCATCAGCGAAGGCAAGGCGTCAGACTGACAGTATCTTATCGACGACTTCACAATCGGTATTAGGTGCAGGATTTGAGCAGTAGTTTGCGGCAGAACCAGGGGTAGGGTAAACGCCGCCTTTAACAATGGTTGCCCAGACATCGCTGAAACCGGCCGAGACGTATTTATTAATGCTCAAGTCCGACGTATACCAGCGGTCATTCAAGTCGCCCGCAATAATCACGGCTCGCCCGGCAGAGTTGCTGTTGATGTAAGCGAGGAGCTGGTCAACGCCCAGGCTCCGGGCCAGCTTGTCTCCCCAGTCATCGCTGTTCCTCGTAAGCAAGAATCTCGTCTCAGAGATGGAAAATATAAGAAACTCACCCCGCGTCGGCATGTGCGTTGTAGAGGTCAATCTCGGCCCCGCCAACATTGATGCGCATGAAGGTGAATCCCTTGGGAGTGAGGCAATCGGCCTCATTTACCCAGCAAAACTGCCAGGTGACGCGGTCTAGGCCAGTCCACTGGAAGTTGGAGAGCGTATTCAGGCCAGACCCCGCGAGAACATTGCCCGAAGTGACCGTCCGGTAAGGGTGGTTGTCCTTGGAATATATCTCGTCGTTGTAGGCGAAATCTTCCTGTATGTGGATGATATCGTATCCAGTCTCGGCAAAGAGACTGCCAATAGTGCCGGCGTTGGTGGCCTTGTCCCCCGGTACGCCGTTGTCACTCAGCCAGTCAGGGAGGCCAGCTACGTTGAAGGTCAAGAGGTTGAAGGACCCAGAAGATTGGGCGAGGGCGAGCCTAGCAAGACACGAGGTCAAGGCAATCACAGAGCTAGTATAATAACGCATGGTCACTGGCAATTATTTGGGCTAAGGACGAATGTGCCATCTAGAAATTGAGGATGCCAATGGTGGAGGTGGGAGTCTTATAGATATTACTGCAGAAAATGATCCGCGTCATCCCAATGAGACCCTCCTTTTTCAGCCCAGTTGACGCCTGGCTCAATAGAAATAGTCGAGCGCCAGCAATGCAGGCTGGCACCACGCTCGCCGTGCTGGACGACGATTGGATGGTCCCAACTGGCCTTCCTGTTTCGTCCATCACCGACCTGCAAGTGATGTCGGCAATGAATCTTTTAGGTTATTTACTACCTTCCCCGCACGGAAATCATGCATTGATTGGAAAAGAAACCTTGCAATCAACTTTAATTGCTGTCACGTTCTCTGATCTGATCCCCAACTGGATTAGCACCACCACCGCTATATGTATGTGTTGTCGTTATACCTAGTGTTATGCAATTCTTTATATCGAGTGGCAATGTGGCTTCTGAAATAGTTATTATGATAGAATACATATACCAGAGATATGGTTATGATATTAAAGATAGGTATTTAGAAGGAAGAGATATCACAAAGTTTTATCGGGGTCTCTTTACACCTAAAGCCAACAGTCCCAAGTCGGTTTCCTGGCCCTGGCTAAGCCCTAAACAATGAGCAATAAGTGCCTATGTAGTAACAAGATGCAGTACCTATTTCTCAGTTGCGTGTCTCTTAGCTGTCAGGCTTTCAACGGGCGCATCAACAACGTAGTTCATAGTGTTACGTAGATCACCCAAGAAGAAGCACGCGAGACACGCGACGGCACCGAAGGAAATTGCAATGTAGTAGACAACATGCAGCGATTCCGCGTACGCTTGACTCATAGCTGATGTCGCCGCTTCAACAACAGTAGAGTTGACTCCCGGGATAGTAGATAGTGCTCCGTTGTCCTTGGCCGTGAAAGCGCTGACAAAGGCTGGGACTTGATCCGCAGCCAAGCCCACCTTGGTCACGGCTTCGGCTATCTTAGCATAGAGCTTGACCTGAAGTTCAGAGCTGTATGCCGCGCTGAAGACGCTCGTGAAAATGGTTGCACCGACCGCGCGGGCGGAAGTCGTGACGGCTGTCGCTGTGGCAATTAGGTGGTGGGGTGTAGAGAGCTGGACGCCCGTCACGACGAGGACAAGGGGAGCGCCGAAGCCGAGACCGGCGAGGCCAGCAAATATGAGACAGTTGAGATTATCTCCGGGTCGGACGGTGGCGAAACCAACAAGTCCAGCCGTGAAGATCAAGAAACCTGCGAATAGAGGACTGCGAATGGTTCGGAACCGCATGCTCCAGTAACCCCAACCCGCGGTGGATAGACCTGAGACAACCCAGAATGGCAGTCCACGAACGGTGAGGAGGAACGGATCTTGTTCGAACAATATGGCAGTCCTGTTTTGCCCAGTTAGCCTGCTGTCAATCCAAGGAGATGATGAATGGCGGGGAGCTCAGTATCTTTATACTTACACGACCGGATAGAAGATAACATAAGAGAATAGCATGATGCCTTCAATCATCATGAGTACAACACAGATTGAAAAGGTGCGGCCAGCTGCCTTGCCTCCTCGGAACAAGTCATGATGCAGGATGCCTGTCTTCGTGCCCTTCCACTCATAGACTCCGAAGCCAACCAGTGTTACCAGCCCGATGACCAGCAAAGACAGGACACGGGCGTTGGTCCACGGGAAGAGTCCCCCTCCTAAGTTGAGCGCAACTAGGAATAGGGTGATACCGGCTGTGAGCAAGCCAAATCCCGGTAGGTCTAGGTGTCCGAGTTTCTGCCAAAAGGATAGGTGATCAAGCTGGGTATGTCTCTTTGGGGGTCGATAGCCAAAGAAGATACCGATGGCTGTCATGCCCCAGAGGGCCATTTGTACCCACTGTTGGCCATTAGCTTGCTGCTCGTGAAAGGGTATACATGAACCTGGGTTGTCTTACATAGAAATTCTTCCAGCCGTTCTTCACATCCGCCTTTGCAAACGCACCGATGACCAGTGGACCAACAACCGCGCCAAGACAAGCGGCGATATTCATAACCGCTTGAGACACTGTGATCGCAAAGTCAGTTTCGAGATTGCTCTCGGGAATATAAGGGTCAAAGTAGGGGGTTTGACGTACTTGGCCGCCATTTTCGTGGCAAGATCTCACTTGGGACGGCGAAAGCTAAACCAACGGTCGAGAAGCCAACGCCGATGAGTATGGTGGCCCCAATCAACCGGTATATATTAGTCGAACCAGGTGCAATCGCCGCGCCGACAAAGGAAACGACAGAGGCTCCAACGAGGAGCAACTTTCGTGCCTGAAACGTGTCCGATATAGAAGAGACGAGCGGAGAGATGACGGCCTGCATGAGAGTAAGGGCGCCAGGGACCCAGGTCTGGGCTTGGGTGTCGTTGAGGGAGGTGCCGATGATGGAGAGCTATTATTTTCCTCTTGTCAGCCATCTTCAACTAACTCTGGGACTATCTCATCGAAGGGAATAAAAGGGTGAGAGGGGGGAGTGCTTACAACAGAAGGGGGCCCCTGAAGTGCCAGTGTCTGGACGAAGTTCATCAAGAACATCGAGGCTAACGCAATCCATGTTCGTAGGTGCACAACAGGTTCTTCATCGGCGTTATCGTAAACAAGATTGTTAGGAGGACCACTGTGCTTTTCAAAGTCTTCGACAGCCTGACCCTCATGCTTGTAGTCTTTAGTTGTCGCATCAATGTGCTCTTTATTGTTTAGTTCGGCCATATTTGCTCACGATTGCAGAAAATAGTGGAGTTTACCAAGAATGATCCCAGCTCGCATGAGGAAATCTGGAGCAACTGGATGGGTTACGATCCCTTGAAGATATATGTGATCTGTGATTAGGTAGTCTTTGTATGACCCCGGATTACGTTTGGGGGCCGTCTGGGGAAATTGGCCCACGATAAGGACACAGGCAAAGGCATCCTCAACGGCTACGGTCGAGGCGGAGATATCAGATCAAGCGTCGGAACTTTGCGAGTGTCGGAGACCTGCGAGTGTCGGACTTTGGCGATCTTAGCCTAAGAGGCCAGCCAGGTGGTGGTGGGTACGAAGAATGATATCGTTTTAGCCCTGTTCTCGACCAACACTAGCAAAGCCATCCTTGTATCATTCGACCGCCTCTTGAACACATTGTCGGTCATTGGTGCCGCTTGAGGGTGACGAAGTAGGTCTCGCCAAACAAGTGATTAGTATCCTTCTGGACTATAGCATACTCCATCATCATAATTCTTCGAAGCTAGGATCCAAAACCTTGGACCAACTACGAGACAATAGATCCCCCGACACATACGTATCTACCAAAATGGAGAGCGTCTCTTCAGAATCACCTTGGCAGGCTATTGCCCGTCGGAAGCAAGCGAATCGAGACGCATGCATCCCATCACAATGGCGAATCCCCCTCGCTCACCTGCCCAAGGATCCTCCGTGCTTCGAGGACGGCCCTCAATCTGTGCTACACGTCCCAGCGGCGGTACTGTCTGCGGAGGAAGTCGAGATCACAGAGAACTACAACATCTCTACGCTGGTCGCGGCCATAGTACGCAAAGAGCTCCTCGCTGAGACTGTGATAAGCGCCTTTTGCCATCGTGCAGCAGTGGCGCATCAGTTGACAAACTGTTTGACTGAGCCCTTGTTTGCGCAAGCCGTAGAGCGGGCGCGATTTCTGGACCAGTACATGGAGGAGCACGGGATGCCTCTGGGCCCTTTGCACGGTTTGCCGGTCAGTGTCAAGGATACTTTTGACATCAAGGGAGTCGACAGCTCCACAGGCTTGGCGTCCCTATGTTTCAAGCCGGCAGAGAAGAACGCACCTCTGGTGGATCTCCTACTGTCGTTGGGAGCTGTCGTGGTGGCTAAGACCAACGTGCCGCAGACGCTTTCGAGTCTCGACAGTGTGAATAATGTATTTGGAAGGACTATGAACCCCGTCAACCGGCTGTGCACTGCTGGTGGGAGTTCGGGCGGCGAGGGTGTCATGGTGGCCATGAGAGGCTCTCTCCTCGGCATTGGAACGGATCTTGGTGGCAGCATCAGGATCCCAGCCATGGTGAATGGGGTATTTGGTTTCAAACCGAGCAACTCAAGGTTGCCGTATGGTGGGCAAGCAGTTCTGGTGCCCGAGGGCATGTGCAGGATAGGCGTGCAGCCTGTGGCAGGTCCTCTGGCGCAGAGCATGGAGGACATCAACCTTGTCATGAAAGAATTGGTACCACGGGCTAGCCTCTATGGAGAAGATTGTGTGTTTGGGGAATGGGCAGACACGGACGCTTCTAGACCCCTCCAGGGATCTGGACCAGACGGACAAGTTGTCATTGGTGTGCTGCGAAGTGATGGTAACTGCACACTTCTGCCACCCGTGGATCGGGTTCTTTCTGAGGTTGCGTCGAACCTGAGCGAGCACCCAAATATCACGGTTGTTGAAGTCCCAACTCCAACGGCGTGGATGCAAGCGCAAAGTGCCATGAACGAGCTGATCGCCATTGATGGAGGAGTCCATATGGGACAACTCTTGGATTCGACAGGAGAGCCATTGGTTCCGTGGGTGAAGCCAAGATTCAAAGTCGGCGAACCGTGCTCGCTCACAAGATTGGCCGAGCTACAGGCCTGGCGCTCCCAGCTCGAGCTCGAGATGTTACAGATGTGGACCGATACAGATCAATATGGGAGGAAGAGCAGGAAATTCGATGCCATTATCTGCTCCGTGGCACCCCATCCTGTGCCTGAGATCGAACGGTTCAACTCGCTCGGTTACACTAGCTCTTTTGTGTTATTTGACTATCCCGCCGGCACCATTCCTGTCAGAAATTTGACCGAGGAGGATCTTGACTTGGGACAGGCTCTCGGCGGCCAGTCGCTAGGTGTTTGGGACGACCATTGCCGAGAGCTGTGGGACGAGAGAACTGTAAATAGGAAGGTATATCTGGGAACCCCCTTGAGCATTCAAGTCGTTGTACCGCGACTTGAGGATGAGAGGTTGGGAAAGTTCATGGCTTTGATCGACGGCGTCATAAAAAGTCACAAATCCAGTTCCGGGTTGCCAGGGTAAGGAGACCAAGTAGGCTCTAGTATAAAGATCACGAGGTGACCTTTTTTTACGTAGCATAGCTTCTTAATAACTAGCAATCGCTCTAAATCTTTCGATAATAGATGTATGAACAAGTTCCGCCAAGTTTCATGTGTTGCGAGATTGGGATTTTGGAGGCATTGATCTCGCCATTAAGTTTGGGCGATAGAGTAGAAAGACTCGATGATTGCAAACCGCACATAACTGGTGGATGGAAATATTGTTCATCCTATCGGCGGGGATGGAAGCCAATAATTCTCTGGCTCGGAAGACCTTGTAGTAGCTCCGGAATCGAAGCTGGGGTCTTGTCATGGGGCGTTCGGTTATCTGCAATGGCTCGTCTTTGTTTCCGGCTGCCATTGATTAAAGTTTGATGTCTTCCACTCGCCGAGAGACCGACAATGGATACGCAGCTCGCAAATGTCCGCCGTAAATATCGGGGCGGCTCTTCTTATCCGACAAGTACGGGATTAGAATGAATTCTAGACTGGCCTATGGATAAGATATTATTGAGACAAAGATGCCTTGCAAGAGTCAGCCTATACAGTTGAGTTGTTAATAGATAGGAAGTCTGTCTTTGTAGCAATGATGCAGCTTATGTCTCCGCTCAGGGTATTACAGTTTCTCGTTAAGGGGCTACGGAGGCTTAAAACGAGTCCTCTAGGTTTTAGCATTTCACTTGTGTGGCTGTCAAATCTCGGAAAAGAAGACAGAGATGCCACCGTCAATACAGGTTTTCATTTCATTAAAACGTATGGTTCTTATGTATGTTCCTCATGGTGGTTGCACAGTTCTTCTATAATACCCGAGAACCCCATGGACAAGTTGGCTGGGTCAGCCTCCATCAACGCTAGAGTTGTAAGGCAAGATCGCATTGTCCGTTGCCAAGCAGTACGGTCCGCCACAATCTGCTTCTCGTAAGAAAGGAGCTGAAGCGCAGTAGCGAATATTAGATGGGACATTGTCCAGTCAGTCGGGAAGACTGGCGCCTTGTATTGTGCTTCATTGTCAAGGATAGCACAAAACGAACGTTGGCTGTATCTGACGAGAATAGCGATGCAAGACACAACCTCTCGAGCCGTGTCAAAAACAGACTCGATTGCTTCTGGGAAGAATCTCGAGATCATGAGCATACTCGCATTGTACTGCAAAGTGCCCCATGCGTCTAAGTATTGGACGGCACCTCCCCAGCCTTGCACCTCGCTCGGGATAGCGGGCACGAAGTCTGTCTTCCAGTACTGGTGCCACTCGAGCAATCCTTTTTGAATATTCTCACATCTCTCTTTCAGCCTCGCCGGATTATGCTGCACGGTCGCTGCAGAGAGCAGGCTTTGGAGTTGCATCTTGATTGTCGAAATACGGTAGAACTGTATAGAGATGCCCTCATTCACAGTGTCGCATGCCGCCAAGGTCAATTCCTATGAACGTGTTAGTCGAGACTGTATCGCCCTATGAGGATCTTTTATCCTGACATAATGTAATCTATCTCCTATTGCTAACACCGTTGGCCGACCAAATGCCGCGGTTACGTTGCTGCTTTCGTGATCAGCTTAGTCCTTTAACGCCGGTGTGCGCACGTACCCCTCGATGCAATATAAAGTTCTGGCAAGCATCGTGTGATGACCTTCATCAAGGTACAGGTTCTCGGAACGACCATGCGACATATCAAAGTGGAGGCGGATAGCAAAGCCAAGGTTCCTCCAGATGTCACCACTGCCGGGGCTCAAGAGCAAGTATATACATATGAGCAAAGATCTCTGCATCATGTGCAAAGTACTGGGTCCAGAGGAATGGTCGCAGTTTGTGTCAGCATTGGAGACAGCCCTGTTGAAGTAGGCAGCCGGCGTGGAGGTCACTAGGGGCTCGGCTCTTTTCGTCAGTACACTGGATATGGCGAGAACCAGGTAGAACAACTCCCGCTTTTGGTCCAAACATGGATCTAGTTCTTCGGTATTGCAACATAAGAGTAGACTTTGGAGAGACTCGTCGTCCATAATGGGGTACCACACATGGACAGATCCTGAAAATACCGCAAACAGACGTGCTGCAATCGAGATATCTGGGGGCTCTGCTATCTGGCTCGTCGATACCAGAGAGCTGCCAGTCCATCCAGCACTAGGCTCACTTCCCAACATTTTGGAGTGCGACTCAGTTAGTGGGAGCATAGGGGATGTGATTGAGGCAAGGTAACTCGAGACTCCGAAGAAGATATAATTCGTGCTTGTTGTCCATTTGGAGTTTGTGGACGCGCTTCGAGGCTTTTCTGGGCCATCTTTGGATGATCTCGAGGCGGGGATCAAGATATTGTTGCCCCAAGTGGGCTGCGAGGCTGCCGTAGAGACAGGCGGGGAAGCTGACGACACCTTTTGAAGTGTTACTCGAGGCTGGCTTGCTACGACTAGCTTCTGAATTAAAGAATGGATATCTCTAGCAAGCCAAAGGAATCATATGAGTCTCGGGTCAGAACAAATTGAGGTTTTGAGTAAAGCGAGAACGACATACCGTCTTGGTATCTGTTGCGATAATAGAACATCGTGATAAACACACTCCCGGCGAGATCTAGAGCAAGCACCACAGCATGGAAGCTCGCGATCGCACCGTATATGTTGGTGACGACAAAAGGTGCATGATGGCATCGAGTTGATAACGTCCTTGATGTCGTTAGGAAGCACCGAGGTTGAAGTCGTAGTAGTAAGCTCTGGAGTGCCTGCAACAGGCACTTGCTCCTGCTGCTCGGCTAGCAAGGGAGGCTCGAGAAAGTTCAACGAGTAGGCCTCCCCAAGGTCGAATTGAGATCCTAGGAACTCCTGCCACATATCGTCTGAGGAAGGCAGTTGTGAATCCTCCTGGGGCGGTGATAAGAAATCCTCAGGAATAAGAGAAGAAGGTTGAATTTCACTGTGTGCTTGATATATACTGCGGATGCGACGTTGGGACAGCAACAATTCAAGTTCCTCAAGGTATCTCAGCTGATAGGCTGCACTAGTCGGACTGACTGAATCTGAAAGCACGAACGTACGCAGATCTTGGACGTACATGGCAGTGGAAGCAATCACTGGCCATCTCTGTGATCCAAGATTCTGTTCAGGAAAAGTTAGAGCCTTCATGCAAGCAGCCTTGTAAATATATGTATCAAGTTACTTACCAGTACATCCATAACGGTGTCTAGCGCAGAGAGGAGCTCATTCTCTAACGAAGCTTCACGGATGATAGATGCATAGTTGCCGAAGATATACAATAGAACGATGGCGGCCTGGAACGTGTTGTTCACCACCGTAAAGGTCCAGGCCAACCTCTGCATCTGGATAGTCTTGTGGTAGCCGTTAATCAGGCTTATTGCACTCGTCGTTGCGACTAGCAAGGAAGTCGGGCTCGGAACCATGCTTCCAGGGTGCGGTCGATGCAGCAAGTTCTGACTCTGATGTGCGTCGTTGGTGATCCATTGCGGAATGGCACCGTTACTCGAGGAAACGGACAGGTTCAGCATGCTTTGTATGCGCTCCTCCATATTTTCAACCCAGTGGTCGTAACTCGGGAACTGGTCTGGGATGGCCCGGCCGAAGAATTTGATTTCGTAGATTTCAGACTGAATCTGGCACAGCTGGATTTGAAGCACAAAGTGTTTTGTGCTAAGCTTTCCGTCGGTGTATGATGGAAAGGCTTCAGCAACATGAGCGCCTCCAATGCCGTAACTAGGCAAGGCAACGGTGATATGCTCGTCGCTCACATTCGGCGCCGACCCGGTTGAGATTGCAATATTCCTGTCGATCAAATAGACCTTATTTTCTACATGTTAGTCCACAAAAAAGACGGTTAAGATCATCTCGATGAGGTTAGAGAACTATACCATCCAAAATATCTGCCTCCGAAGACTGACGTCCCGGGAACTCAGCCCCTGAGAGGGATCGGGCTCTTGATGAAGACCCAGTCCGACGGCCATGCGTCCGACTTCCCCGCTCAAGTAGAAGACATTGTTGATGTATGGCAACAGGAAACCTAGCTGTATCAACAATAGAAGCCCTTGTAGAGATCTTATGTTAGATTGCCTGAGGAAGGTCCAGTGACGCATCGCATCGCGGTGAAGTGACTCGCTCATCGAAGCCACTCGCGAAAAGTCATCATTCCGCGAGGCCAGACAGCTGACTGCCAGCACCATCGACACAACAAACCGGCTGAAATCCGCAGAGGAGGCATCATCTGTCTGCTGCTGCCTCGAATAGACTTGCCCAAAGTGGTACCATAGCTCGCTGCTGGTAAAGCATGGATACCGTGGTAAAATGGTGTTCACATAGTTGTCGAAGATGTGCCGTGCAACCTCAAAAGGGGTAGACAAAGCATCAACTCCGGAGAATTGCGACTCGTGTCCATGGCCCGCACGTCTTCCAAGATGTTCGTAGTAGAGGCTATGTACTGGGACCTTGTGAGGAGGTCTTTCAGTTGGGTAAAACAGCTTGGACTCATGGAGGAGTCCTGGGTGACTGCCTACGCAAGCCGTGGTGTACAAAATGCGTATAGACGTGTTTATAGCGTCCACGATTTGGCTGTTAGCATCCACAGGAACTCCTGCGGGTCTCGAAATCGAAATCGTCGTATCTGGCAAGCGGTCTGGCTCTGGTTCTGGTTCTGGTTCTGGTTGGTGTCCACGGTCACGCTCGATCTCAGCCAGTCGCCTTTCCAAATACTGCAGCGCGCTGTGAACAGTCCTAGCTTTAGCTAGATAACCTCAGAGTGAAGAGACCAAAAACAGTGGACGCACCTTCGTGGAATTTCCTTGCGGCTATGTCGGTTGATGCCGACGCATTCTTTCCCTGCCAAGCTGCATCGAGAACAGCAGGGCAGTTTCTTATCGCACTAGATCAATGTCAATATCCCACGACATAAATCTAAATCCCCAAGTTCACGCCACCTTCTTCTTCAAGGAATAACATCTCGCGCAAGCCAAGACTGGTTGGTTACGCTGGCGTTTCGGCATTGTTGAGCTCATGTGCCGACAAGCACCGAATCAGGCGGCGGTGGTTCCGAGTGGATGCCTGCCTTGAACCCGACCAGCATTGAGCTTGAAGAGCGCGTTGTAGAAATCCCGGGGTAATTGTAACGGGGCAGAGTATCAAGCGAGGTGTCTCGGCCTTCGACAGACACCGAACTACCCGCGGACGTAGCACAGCCTTCGCCTCGCCTGCGTGATGACCTGGAGCACGAGTGAAGGGCCAAAGCTTAATCAAACCGAGCTAGCAAAACTCCGACAACCGCTTTATCTACAAGGTGAGTCGGAGACTAGCCCGAGTGGATCACTCATAGCAAGTCCAGGGATTGGGCTATGCTTTAAGGGTAAATCGCCGAGCTAGGCCAGGGTATGAGTCATGGCATCGAACAAAGAGGGAGACAGAGCGGGGAGTGTTAACGGCGACGGCGGATCAGTCTCTGAATCCATGAGCGGAGAGAGTGACAGTGGAAACGATCCAAGGGAGGGAAAGTCACAAATCACGTCAGTGGGTTGGCCAACGGGGTTACAGAGAAGATTTTTCTCATTACATAAGTTATTTTTAACATAGAAGAGCTACTTCAATCCTGTGATGTGCTGTGTCAAGTTGAAGAATCCCACATGATAGTTAATATCACCTCAGCTGGTTCCTAGGTTCTCACAGTTCCTTACATTCCAAGCAATACACCACTCATCACTTAAACGTAACAATCTATACCGAGTAGTCATGACAACCAAGGTCGTGATTGTCACGGGCGCGAGTAAGGGCATTGGGGCGGCCATCGTGGATTGGCTTCTGGGCCAGTCTCATAAGGTCGTTGTCACGGCTCGCTCCGAGGCACCGCTTCAGGCGCTTAAGACGTCGCACCCAGGCCAAGTCGAATTTCTTGCAGGCGACATTACGGATCCTAGTGTAAGTCTTGTCGGCATTGCTATATCATGACCACATTAGCTGACAATAAGCAGATTGCAGGAAGCCTTGTTGAGCTTGCGATCAAATCGTTTGGCCAGCTCGACGGACTGGTTATCAATCACAGTCTCCTTCAAATCAACAAGCTAGGCGGTGTCTCCCCGGAGGAAGTAAAGAGAGTGTACGATGTCAATGTTTTTAGCGGTATTTTTCTGGTACAAACAACATCTATTCCCGTGTCACAACTCAAGGCTAACCAACGTCCAGATAAATGCTGCGCTGGATAAGTTGAGGAATACCAAGGGCTCGCTTGTTTGGGTATCATCCGGTGCTGCCAATATGTCAATTGCTGCATGGGGTACCTACGCTTCGTCAAAAGCCGCCGTCAACGCCATCTTGGCTCACTATGCAGTGGAGGAGCCGGATATCTCTAGTATTGCCATCAATCCTGGCATAGTCGACACAGATATGCAAGCTACCATCCGCGACCAGGGAAAGTCCACTATGTCTCAGGCAGAACATGAAAACTTTGTTGCCGTGTTCGAAGCTGGTGGGCTCTTGAAACCCGAGCAGCCAGGCTCTGTCATAGCAAAGCTGGCTGTTGAGCCGACCAAGGAGCTCAGTGGAAAGTTTCTGAGGTATGTCGAATCGGAATCCCGAACATTGGCGTGGTAATTAATGAGGCTATAGCTGGGATTCCCAGGAACTGCTTTCCTTCCGGTAAAGCAAAGCTGGTGTAGAGGATTCTTGAACTTGACTATGGAGTTAGCTTAGCTGGATGTCGCGGAGTTAATATAAAGGGAGGAGAAGAAGCCATTTACGACCAGTCGAAAGACAACTTTCTTATATAAGTCTACATGTGAATATTAAGTTTCAGCATAGAAATAGGACTTATCTTTAGAGCACCATAGAAAATGAAACAGAACTTTGTTACTCCTATTGTAATACCCTACGAATTGTGTGCTGAAGCTTAGGGAGTGATTCACGGGGCAAAGTTGTTGGAAGAAATCATTGTTACGCACCTGAGTGGATATCTACTTGAGATTTATCATTAACTTCAAATGCTTGTTCCTTTATGAAGGGATTGCATCCAATATTTAGCAGCTGAGTTTTTATTAGGAGCACTACTGAAGAAGTTCTGCTTATCACAATTTGTAGGAACCCTGTAAAACATAAATGATTTGGTCCTTGCTATCTATTCAACAGACATCTTAAAGTAGTTCATCGTATATGTATGCTTTAAGAGGTTTCTCTCCCGACAACAAGGACTCTGTGTCTCCTCACACTCTCCCTAATTGACTGAGATGTGGCAAAAGACCTTTCTCGAGGACCATTAGAGAATTTCAGTATTCCAATTGCTACTATGCCAAACACTGCTACCATTTTGCCTCACCTAAATGTGAAAGGTCTTCCAATCATACGCTTTCTCCCAGGCGGCTGCAAACTTCAGGCAATCCAGGTCCGCATATTTGCTGCCGACAAGCTGCATTCCAACGGGAAGTTTGATAGTTGCATCTTCTCTAGCAGGCACAAAGCCAACAGGAATCGAAAGAGCAGGATGACCAGAATCTACCAGCCGTCCGTTAGCAAGCACACATTATCTTGAAGCATCGAAGGACTCACTGTCGAATGGCGACGTATTGGCGATTAACCCTGTCGTCCTCATAGCAAATTTGAGCAGGCCCTCTTTGTAGCCATCTTCAGGGAGCTTCGGGGCCGGATAGGGAAGGGTAGGCATGACTAGGACGTCGTACTCTTTGAGCGCCTTATCATAGGCGTCCTACAATAACGTGAATGTTAGCAGAAGTCAGCCGTTGAGGGTAAGGAGAGAGTGACATACACTGATATATTTCTGGAGGTTCATACATTTCCCTTGATGCGATAATCCGTGCTTTTCTGAGAGCCAGAGGTGGTTGAGATACAAGTTGGCCGCACCAGGGCTTAGAGAATCGAACTGTTGTTGGGTAAGACGGGGACCAACCAAGGCCAGTCGGTCAGTCATGTAAAGTTGCTTTCTTCCTTCCATTCCACCTAATAGGGCTTGACGTCCACCAGGGATCCCACTGGAGGCCATCCACACAAGGGACGCCAGCTTGTGTTCGGGAATCGAGACAGAAGTCACTGTAGCGCCGATGGTTTCAAACTTGCTCACGGCAGCCCGGACGCAGTCAACTACGTTCTCGTCCTGGCCATCGATCTCAAAACCTTCTTGGAGAACACCGACCTTGAGCCCGGCCAACATTTTGCTCCAAGGTTTCGACACGACGTCGTCGACAGAAGCAACAAATTTGTGTTTTTCACCACTGCGCTCCAGCAAAGCCTGACGATCATCCCATCCGTCCGGGCCGGCGATTGCCTCGAGAAGCAACGCACAGTCCCTTACTGTGCGCGTCATGGGCCCTACGTGGTCAATCGCTGCATCTAGATTGATGATGCCAGTGTACGGCACCAAACCCCATGTCGGCTTCAACCCGACGATTCCACACGAAGCTGCGGGAATCCTGATGCTACCGGCCTGGTCGCAGCCGATGGACATGTCCACAGCACCGTTGCCAACGAGGCGGCCGGAGCCGCTGCTAGAACCTCCAGCGCTGTATCCCTTCGCCCAAGGATTATGAACGTGGCCAGTAATGGAGGTCGCCGACAGCCCTTCGAAGCAGGCGTTTTCACACGCTGAAGGGATCGGATGCGAAATCAGCAAGAAGACACTAGGAAAGAAAGAACCGAGCCTGGTATGACAGGATATTTACTTACCAGCCTTACCAACGATGATGCCGCCAGCATCCATGACACGGGTCGCAACGGTAGCATCAACTTTCGGCGTCCACTCTACCATCGATGTCCCGTTTGTGCAGGGCACTCCCGCGAGAGCGATGTTATCCTTCAATGCGATCGTGCGTCCCTTGAGCAAGTCGCTTGTAGGAGCTGCGGCCTGAGCCGTGACCTAATAATTGCAAGAGAAAGTTAACCATGAAGAGATCATGAAAGAAAACAAGGAGCTTCAAACCTTTGCTGCCCATCCGCCTAGATCATTATCTTGGGGCATATGAATATCCCTACGAGGATACCTACTGAGATCCGGTATAGGAATGACGCAGCTGTCATCTGGCAAGCTAGCAATTACAGCCTCAAGGCCGCTGACAAGCGTGACGAAATCTGTGGCCGTCTGCTCCGACAGCTTCAAACCTGCGGTACCAGCGATGTCCACGACATCCTCCAAGGATACCTTGGCCGCTTCGGCATCGACTTTAACGATAGACATGATGAACCCCCCTGATGCGAGGTTTGAATCTGAGTGGTATACTTTGGACTGAGTGAAGGACGGAAACTTGGATCTTGTCGACCAGCCCCTGAGATTCGGAGCCAGCAGACCTCACTTTAAACTACCGTACGATTTCAGCGCCAAAAGTCCCCTTCACTTTTCCCTCTCCAAACTGCCATCCCGCAGCGCAGCGCTCCATCTCCTGTACCATCATGTATATGCCGGATACTGGTTTGTAGTTCGGCTAAGGAAAACAATAATCCCGGCACCATGTGCAGGCCCACTCGGACCAGTCTCCGACTTGAGCCATCATCCAAGCCGTTGTCGGACTTTTGCTAAACTAACTTGGCAAACTAAAAGTTAGATCCACTGGACGAATTTCAACCCTGTGGCCTTATTGTGGTAAAACCCGATGGGCAGGGGGTTGTGTTCTCCTCGGCATGGTGTCGGAAGTCGTCCATTCTTCGGTCTTACCCTAGAGCTGAATACTTCGTCGTAGTGGCAATCTAAAGCCTAGCTTTTGTCGTCTTGTAGGTAGAGGCAAAGTTACGCAGAGTATGGCAATCTAATTGTAGGCAGAATCCGAGTGATGGTTTCACATAAAATGCAAATTCTCAACAACATTCATTGTTGCCTCAATGTGAGTAGATCGACGGTTGACCCAGGCTTGACTTCGCTAATAACAAAGAACACAAGCTCTATTTGAGATGTCACGGTGTCGTGGGTTCCTCGTTAGGTGGAAACGAATTTGGTTGAACGGAGTGTTTAAATAGTACCGACAACAACCATTCCCGGTACACCAGAGGTGTTTCTTGTTCAGAGGATATATTGCCAGCTTCAATTGTGAAATGAATTGATACTGCAGACTGGCTCTTCTCTTTGCCGGAACACACGAGACGCTTTGTAGCCCCCCCGTACCGCGGTAGTATCTGAGTTCTCCGTCCCTAGAAGCGCCGGTCATTGTCTAATTTTCTATTTTAGTATTTTTCCTTATTCGCCTATGGAGAAATATACATACTATCATATCAGTACCGAAATAGACGCCCTTTTCGTTGCACAGGCCTTAACCGGCAATAATCACTCAAAAACAAGCGACAAAGCAGAAGTGGGCGACATAGACGTGGCAGTGTACCTAGACACAAGTGGCAGTGCCAACCAAAGCCCCAGGATGGAAGATCTTTTGCTAACTAAGGGCATGGGGGCAGTGTTTGATAGGGGCCAGAGTAATGTGTATCATGCTTATCAGCGGCACAGTTAGGGGTGACAAGGGCTGATCATCTATCTATGCCGCCATGGCCACTCAGCTACGCATGAATATGTCCATCATCCATCGAGGCGAATGCGGCGCAGCAAGGCGTCCGGAATCCCGAGCCTTAAGCCCTAGACTAAATACAAAATACTCTGGAAGGGACACATAATCGAAAGGCTATATTAACTCATCCTCGACATATGAGGTAGGCTAAACCTTTCTCTTCAAGTCAATCCGACTCTATTAACACCCTGACGATGCTGAGACTCCAACGTTGGCAATCTGTTGTGCTGCAAGCTACTGCAATCTCAGCGGTAGGCTTCGTCATCAACCACGAAATCAATCGCCGTCACAGGCAAGATGAAAGCCTCTGGAATGACCCAGTGCTGATGAATTATACGTCCACGTTTAAATGGGCGAGGAACTCGACTAATTCAACGTCCCGCCCTTCTCTGTCCTCCAACGGTACTCTTATCACCAATGATCTAGTTGGATCCAATTCTACAAAGAGCCAAGAAGAACCAAGCTTCTATATGGCCACTTTGCCACAAAGCATCATCGGACAGGCGATAATGATGTTTCTTTCATACCACTGGAACCTTGCTCTTGAATATTTATTACCTGCTCGATCAGCTGGGGTTGAGACGCAAAGCGAGAAAGAAGTCATCAACGAAGATGACGGCCGAGAAGAGGAAATAGTGAGAAGATGGATTCTCAAAGGTCGCGTCCAGCGATCATCAATTAGCTGGCTAAATACGTTCCTAAAATGGGTGCTCGACGTGACCCTAGGAGTTACTTGGGCATCCATCGTAATTGAAGCATTATCCGTATTTTGCTTCAAAATATCCCCGAACAAAGGGATTTCAAACTTCCTATGGGTGAGTCCCCATATACGATGAAATTGCGCCTTTGAATCAAGGCTAATAAAACTTCGATCTCTAGAACGTCTTTTTCAGTTCACTAGTAATGATCTTCAGCCCCCGCACCTTGATTTCACTGATCGGCTTTATTGTAATACCAGCACCGCGGCGTCCAGTATTCATGGCTGGTATGTTGGCGCTAGCAAACATATTCATCGCTGTATCCACGATGATTGTGCTCAGAGGGGTTGTGAAAAGCAACATTGCCCAGAAAACGATGATTGATCTTACAGAGCGTGTCTGGAGAGAACGCAAAGAAGCGGCAACGGCTCGTTTGGTGGATGAGTTGTGAAAGGCATGGGCCATATGGGGTTTTGTGCTTTATCGAACAGGCAACATCTTGGACGCTGGTGTGAGGTTGCGTTGGTGATTGAAGTTGACGTTATGAATAGAACTGTGGCTTTTCAGATTTATGATGATGAAGTTTTCGGAAGTTAAGCTTGCTAATTCAATGTCGGAACCTTTTTGTGAATGGTATGTTGGTCTCCCGTTGATTGAAAAATCTTCCGTTTTGCAGCGTTTCATGCTGCTCCGATGAACAGCCTTGTGAAATTCAATCCTCGGCTGCTGGACTTCGACAGGCCATAGTTCATCTTCTTGTAGACTAAATTTTTTATAACGGCGGACGAGACCCTGAGTATGGAAATCGTGTCTTCATGCAGCCTGGATAATATGGGAGCGCTTTCAACGCCTCTTGAACCGTCTCATCCACTCTACTACTGCGGCAAGATAAATATTTAGAGTGCCAAGTTATTGCAACATCTCGACTTTTCTTCATTGGAACTCTTTCTAAGCTTGTTTTAGACATTTGTTGCGAATAGCGTACATGGGACAATAGAGGAGGGACAGGGGATAGAATGTCACCCGGCCTATTGGACAAGGGGTCACTGGGCTAGGTCGTAAGTTCCTCCTCAAATTCTTTCATTCAATACACCTGGTGAGTTTCGATTGGTGGGTTTCCGTTGCTCATCCTTGATGCTGACATCTAGATTAAGTGCAAATTAAAGTGACATCTAGCCCTACGGATTGCGCTGGCCGCAAATCCCTCGCTTCCACAAAACAGATGGTATGATGCTCCTTGGCAAGTTGGCTGTAATTTTGTTCCTTCATTAATACGAAACCTCATAGTGAAGCTGGCGATGCGGCCTGAAAACGACATCTATGTAATCCATTCTTCTACCAAGAAGACTGCCGCCCATACTCTGATGTTGATTGCTTCCAGCTAAAGAAGGTGATCACCCATTGTGATGTAGTTTATCAGAGAAAATCGTTTGGAGAGCTGTACATTGGAACAGAGCACGTGCAATAAACTTTGACTGCTTTGTTGCTATGACGCTGAACGCCTTATAATTTCCCAAACAATTGACAGTTCATGCTCAATGTTAGATAGAGAGCGCTCGTTATGGGACTGAACGAAGTCATCTACATACAGCGATTATTCTAAGATGTATAACGTGGAGCTGGAAATGCCAAGGCATTCTGATAAGCGCCGTAGGATTTTCAGCTTGGAAATGCAAAGCCAATGAACATCACTCCCCTCGAATGTAAGCGAATGCAGTCCGACCCCCTTGCCAATTTAATTTGTGTCAGAACACTTATTGGCCTGGTCGGATTCAGGGGCGGGTCAAAGGCTAAGCGAATCCTACCGAATAAGAAGAATTTGGGGGCAAGAATAAGAGGAGGGAACTAAGAAGCGCGTACCGCCAGATCTCGAGACTCCCAAAAGCTCGACGGTCTTGGACGGCGAAAACGCCACGATGGCACGTTGCGGGTTTGTTAGCTGGGGCTTGATTGTCTCATGTTTGCTACTTGTCGCATGTGCAGCCTCCTCAGAAGATGTAAAGTTTATGGGCTACTTCATCAATGGCCTCACCAGTAAGACTTGCCCATTTTTGGTGTGGATTGGGTTTCTTGTGTACTGACTTCAAATCGGGTAGCTGAGAAGTTGATGGCCCCCTCTTCCTTCGATGTTTGGTCAACGACAGGAACCGTCGCAGGCGGATGTGAAACGGCAAAGCCAACGTGCGAGATCAATATCGGATGTCAAGATGGAACTCTGACAAGGACTGATAATGTAAAAACTCTTTGGTGAGTATCCCTAAGTCCCGGATGTTGATTCTGGGCTATCTTATGTTCTGAGAGCTCGGCCCAATATTGACACTATCGCAGCACAGGATCGCAGGTCTGCCAGACCATGACAATTTATCAGAATTCCCCTTCCAGCGGACCGACAGTTAAACATTTCTTTTGCGCAAACGTATGGCCGGCGAAGACGGTATATCGTGACCTCCGCCAGGCAGCGACGACCACAACTTCTTCCGAATTGGCCCCATCGTCTTCCGAGTTGGCTCCTTCATCTGGCAACTTGGCTCCAACGAGTGAGCCAACAGATACACTTAATTTCGACACGTTGACCCGGGCGATCACGACGCAGACGACGTCCACACAAACAAGTGCCACAAGCTCAGTGCCCACGGAAAGTGCGGATGCATCCGGCTCTTCCTCAAAGTCCACAGTCGACCAGAAGGCATGGATTGCCGGTCCTGTCCTCGGTGGCCTCATCGTTCTCGCCCTTGTTGCGGGCGGTATGTTCTGGTGGGGTAGAAGGTCCCGAGGAGGTGGTGAACGTGAAGGAGACAATACCAGGAACTTCCAGTCGATCCCCGAGGAGACGAAGTTCGGGTATCAGCCCCCGTTGTCGTATGGCGAAACGCCCATCCCGATGACGTACCAACCTCAGTCTCATGTCAGTGAAATGTCGTCCTCGAGGTCACCGACGGAGCTGGGAGCGAACTCGGCGATATATCAGCCAAAACCCCAACCTCCCACCCAAGTCCAGGAGCTGCCAGCTCATTATTATCGATAATAAAAACAGCGTTTGCGTGTATAATTATAGAGAATCTAATTGATACCACAAGTTTATCAACAATTACCTCCCTGTTATCTCTGGTGATCTGTAGCGAGGCTGTAGATGAAGTTTATTCCACACCCTGAGATAGGCATACATCCAAGCTCAAATAACGGTTAGTACTGGCGTTTAACAGGGAACTACAGGTAGTTTATGGCTTCGTTTATGATTTGATGATTAGCCAACCCTGGCTAGTGTTATAATTATGTATAATGTAATTGATTATACGGAGACGAAATAATCGAGAGAAAGAGAACTCGAAGGCAAAGACCAACGGAAAAGCAGAGCCAAGTCAGCTTGATTTGCTGTCGGTAGTGGCACATTGGTAGATAGGTCCAAGGTTGCCTCAATCTAGTTCCTACAGGTTAATAGCTTGTTATCCTCCTACAGGTTAATAGCTTGTTATCCTCCTACAGGTTAATAGCTTGTTATCCGGTAGGTTTTATAGATATGAAATTGAGGAGGCCCTCGCCGCTGCTTGTAACGCCCTCAAACTGCCTCTCTCTTGAATGCTATATACCTCTTAAATCCATTTCATCCACTTCAAGATTCCAACATGTGGCTTTATGGTATATTCAAGGCAATATCTTGTGTTTGTAAGCATCTGGTATTGACTTAACACTAAGCCCGTCCTCTAGTCGTTGCGTACTGTCTCACGATCTTCATACATAAGCCTAGAAACTGACAGTATATTGCAACGGGGTTGGCGATAAGCCCAAGCCCACAAACTACAATTGACTGAACAGATACTTGACACCCGCCCAATGCTCAGCCCCAGATGGCAAAATGTTTTCGGGTGGGATGACAAAACCGCCTTCAGCTGCTGTAGGACGCAGCTCCACCAACCAGGAGAACTCAGCGCCTGCCACATCGAAAGCCCAGTCCGTGCTGCTCCCGGCAGTCTGATAGAGATTTGTGCAAGTCGGACCAACACTAAACTCAAGCCCGTTCACACTCGCGATGGCAGATGCGACACCATTACCCACGGACAGCTGTCTCTCGTAGTTATCTGGGTAGGCCGTGCAGTTATATCCATACGGTAAGAGGATTTTCTTTCCGTAGGAGTGCCAGTCTATGTAGGCTTTGATTCCTGGTCCATTGGCTAGATCTAGGATATGGGCTACCAAGGCTTGAATTTCAGGCGTATCTCCAGGCGCCTCGCCACGGAAGGTATTGGAGCAGGGATCTGGCGACGAGCCCCCTGACACATTCCAATGGCTGGGCCAGTTGCGGTTCACATCCGTGCCGATGCAGGTTTGGTTATTTCGTGTTTGACGGTTCTTGCGCCAAAGCCTTTCAGACTCGTGAGTGTAAACAAAACCTGGAACGCATTAGTGGACAAGCAATCATCTGAGTACAGGGGCAAATACCATCTGGATTGACAATTGGCAAGATATAAAAGTCATACTTGTCTAACACATTGACGATCTCAGAGTCTCCGGCTTGATACTCTTCTATCAATTTATACGTAATATATTCTACGGTCTATTTTCAAAATGTTAGCACTGACCAACAAGACTTGTTGGAAGGTCCCCGAACCGGTGCAGAAATCCACTCTCTGGCATGCGCAGTTCCGTGCCAAACAATGGCCGGCTTGAGGCCTTTCCCGCCTGTTCCCCATAAATGGATTCCCGGGAGTTCACGGCCCTCAACTGATGGGCCGAGCGAGAAGGTATCCGAGTTGTTTGGAAACGCAGCTTGAAGGTCTATGAGGAACTGAATGTGCTCATCATACGGATGGTAGGAGTCAAAGTATGACAACGGTGGGAGATCAGCGACTACTCCCTCAATCTTTTCCGTAGCTATATATTTTGGCGTTAGCTATATACCAACTGGGAGAAATATAGTGTAGAGCAACTGACCGCTATATGTTAAGAATGGACCCTCCGTCTTTAATACCGCACCGAGATCATCAACCAGAGTAGTGAGCTCGAGCCCAAGCTGGCGGGCGGCTTGTAGTTGATCAGGTGGGACGGCGATATCAAAAGCCTCGTTATGTGGATCTGCAGATAGCAGAACTGATTTGATACTCGATAGGGACTGTTCAAACTTTTCCACGTCACCGGGACTTTGAATTCTGAATATTTTGAACCCATCATACGAAATCTTGGCAGTAGCAAGAGAGCAAAAAATGCCGAGAGCTGTTAGAGTCTTCATTGTAGCAGTGACGTTGAATGAACGAAATATAACGCAGAACTGGAAGGACGAGGTCGAGTCGAATGCTTCAGATTGTTAACTCGGGAGAACTGTAAAATAAAAAAGATGAAGCACCCCGGCGTTGATCTACTTTAATTCATAGGAGCTCTTTATTGAGCAGTATTTCTTGGGAGCGGGGCCATATGAGCTCTTATCGTTGATGAATTGCGAATTTAACCTTGAATGACATGCATCTGTTGAAATAACCTTCTTGACTGGTTAGATTTCTGTGTTATCAGGGATAAGTCGTAGCACCGAAAGAGGGGCAACCTGTAAGTTGCTTTAATACTACCTGGCCAAATGGCACCTACCATCTTGAGTTCTTTTCATAGGCAGCCGTTAGAGTTGCGGGAAGCTAGGGTAATGTCACCGATGGGTTAAGGATCCGAGAGGATCCAATGACGGATCTCCGAGCGGATAAAGTACCTCAACCACTGATAGACTAGGCAACCCTGTAAACTCCCTTTTCCTTCTTAAACCCACTCCGTCCCCGAAGTTAAACCTCGTACGATGTATGGACGTTGCCATCTAAAAAGCTAGCGGTTCGATGCTGGGCTCGCTCGGACTGTATCGCACATTCCTTGGACGATTGATCTCTACCGACTTTTATTTTCCTTGGCCTGATGACAACACATTCAAGGCGAATCAGATGATAAGCATAGCGACTCGGTAATTCTCTGTGGGTGGGTTTGGTATCAGCACATATGATGATTTTTGTCCTCGAATTACGAGGGTAGGTGGCGCGATCGTTGGATGTCGACATTAAATCTCCCAATCCCACAGTGGTGAGGTATTTCATATCTGTCCTTCAATGGAGTATCTACTAACTTCATTGCCATGGGATAAGGAAGGCAGCATTAGCCTTGCTGATGACATTCAGAATGATGTGTCAACAGACGACTGAAAAAAGCTCATTGCTCAATGCGCAACGCAGCCAGAGTATCTCTTTTGCTCATATATTATCTGAGGCGCTCAAACTACGATGCGATGTGGGAAAGCCATATTCCAATTCTGCGATCTTTACTCCATACAATCGTGTTCATTCAGGGGTTCAGCAATCCGGTTCATGCAAGTGAACTGGGACCCAGAGGACCCAGAACGGACACTGTTTGATGAAATGCGGGGAAAGCTGGGCGGCCGCGCGTTAGGAGCAACATCCACAACAAGACTTGGAACACGACCCAGCCCAGAGAGGCGTTCTGGGACATTCTCACAGCGTATAGTTGTTCTGACGGGCCCGAGGCCTTGGTTAGCGTGGATCTATCGACTATAGTCTGTCCTGGATAGTCCAACCTGAATCCGATATCGACGAGGGAGATCAGCCGGGAGATCAGACCAAAGGATGTCACATGACGGGGAGCTATGTCATTGTCCGTTTCCGGAAATCTCGGAGGAGCATTCCATCGAGCCTATTCCCAAAAGTCAATCATACGAAGTCAATCACACGCAGTCTTTGCGCACAGAACGTACCCGCTGAAGGAGAGGATGGCCCTCTAGTCCCCAATCCCTGCTGAACAACTTTCAGGATTTTATTCAGGATTCTATTCCCATGGTCAGAATGCCGAAATACTGTTTATTCGAGTGCGATCGGGCGATCGCCAAGAACTCCGGCACACTGTGTATGGACGTAAGCTCGGCACATTCCTTGGACCATATTTTAAGTATCTGCATACAGTTAGTCTTCATAATCGGAACTGTATGCGGGGTAGGACAAGTCGATGATGCATCACTCCGGACCAGTAGCTCCGGCCATCTGTGTGTAACGTCCTTCTGAAACCTGGCTGGCTCGATCACATCGATTTCTGCCTCCAATCCGATCAGGGCAGACATGGATAACTGAATGCGCACACACATGACGATCCCCCTTGATATTATAAAGATCCAGAGCGCCGCCGGTGTAATCCTTCCGTCATCCCCCTTTTCAGCTCTTCCTGTCTGACCTCTAGTCAACAGCAAATAAAATATCCTCCGTGTCCTTCTTTCCGTTTTCATTCCTATCTCTAATGTAATCTGTCTGTCCTTGACGTCATCGATCTTGTCTTGTGGAATTTGTCAGATTGGCGATAATAGGTGTGGAATTTACACGCTTCACGACTTCGACATGCAATTCGACCATCGTACGTATTGAACACATCGTTCATAGTCTCTGCAGCATTATTTCTAACGAAATCATCACCAGATGGCCGACCAGAGCGATAGCCACAAAGAACGCGCATACATCGCTGCCTCGAGACGACACGACCGTGGCATCGAAGCCCGCCTCGAATCAGCGCGACAAGCGAGCAAAATACACAAAAAGCGGACGGGCAGAGCACTACGCATATCCGAGGAGATTGTTCTTGGAGACGCCGCATACGAGGAAGAAGAGGCGCCCAGGAGGCGCCAGCTCTCGGGCTCACCCTTGATGCAGAACATGCAATGGCAGGCAGACCCCTTTGCCGCTGCTTTCTCTCCCGGCAGCCCTCAGACACAGATGTTTACGGAGAAGGAGTGGCGTGAGAACATGGTCAACCAGGCCTTTTCTCAAGCCTTCCCCCAGCTCGATGCGAGGCTATCTCAGCGGTGGCCAACGCAATATTTCGCTCCCAGGGAGCATGGGCAACCGGGTCAATTTAGATCCCCTTCTATTGCCTCGTCGAATATAAGTTCGCAGTCAGCACTATCTGGCCAATTTGTCGATGCACCAAACTCCGAGACGTCATCACCACTTCTACCTACGGGTACACCATTCCAAGGCCACTTTAACCAAGACGGGGTGGATGGGACGAATTGATATTAAACAACTACTTAACAGCGACAGTGTACTGGATTACAAGAGATTGTCGACAGTCAGATGATAACTATGTGTCGTGATTGGATTGAGCAGGCGTGCACGTTGGGTTGGGGTGCCATGTCTTTGTCGATTATCCTTCTGTCCGACTTATCAGGCTCATTATGATGCCCAAATCCTTACCGGAGCATAGAACTGGGGACTTTGCTACGGTAGCACGGAAAGATGAGAAAGATGAGATAAGTCGCATGACAAACGTGTCTCGATGACATTATAAGACCAGACCATCACTGGTACCGATTTGATACTTCTACAAGAAACAACATAACAATTAATCTTTGTTTCGAACCATAGCTTATGTATCGTAGCCTTCAATTTAAAATTCTTTCTAAAGTGCCTACGAGGATGGCCCAGCCAAAGCCACTATTTGATTGTTTGGTAGAACAACGCACATCATGATACTTAGTATATGATTCTAACTTTGATGTCTCCCACTCTCATCATTCCAATCACTTCCCAGAAGGATTTCCGTTAAACGCAAGCTTATTAGGCGTGTCCTCAGGAATACCACCCAGTTTGCCTTCAGTGGCCAAATCCGCGATTCTCTTGCAAAGAGTTTGAGGGTCCTTGAACCCTTCTAAACCAGCAAGATACGCAGCGAGACCTGCAATGTGAGGGGACGCCATTGAAGTGCCGGATTTTTCGCCCTCTGTACCGCCTGGGAGTGCAGAGAGAATATTCTGGCCAGGTGCATATACATCCACAGCCGCGCCATAGTTTGAATGGAGCCATCGTCCATCCCAGGGCGACGCGGCACCAACAGTGCACACGGTAGGCTCCGACGCAGGCGAGAAGTCCTTGGCGTCCGTGTTGCCATTCCCTGCAGCCACGGCGAGGAAAATGTTCTTTTTGATCATACTTGCCGCGGCTTCGTTGATTGAGGTTGAGAAAGCACCGCCCACGGACATGTTGGATACTACACCTTTCGTGCAGTTACGCTTGGCAGAGTCCTCGGCGACGAAATCCATGCCCTTGATGAAACCTGCCAAGGAGCCATCGCCGTCTTTAGTGAGGACTCTTATGCCGAGAAGCCTGGTCTTCTTTGCCACGCCGTACTTGGCACCGCCAATGGTGGCAGCAACGTGAGTACCATGGCCATCATCGTCTGTGTTGATATTGTCCACAAAATTGGCGACCATCTCCGCCCGCCCTTCAAAATCCTGCCACAGGAACAAAGATTAGCGCGTCATAATATTACACCGGGTTTGAGGAAACCCACAGGATGGGTAACATCGATTCCTGTATCAATAACATAAGCACACGTCCCAGCTCCTGCGCTGGAATCATAAGTATATGGAACTCCCGTTTTGCGGTCGCGGGTAGAAACGCGACCCAATCCCCACGGCGGCGAGGCCTGGTCGACAAATGCATACGCCAAAAGTGAAGAGTCCTGCTCGACATATTCGACCTTGCGCTGTAGGTCAGCAATCACTTCAGAGATATGGTTGGATGGTGCATCCTCACATCGGTGCTATGGCGAAGAGCTTCGAGCTCCTCATCGGTAAGCTGACCGGAGAACCCTTGAAAGGTGGTCTTGTAGACATGGTCTGGGGACACGTTCAAGGTGCTGATTTTATTATTGAGCGCCGATACGGACATCCTGTCCCCGCCTTTACCATCCTTGAATTTGACAATATATTTTCCCGCCAGCAGGTTTTTATCGTCGGTGCGAGGTCGAAGGAGTGGCGCTGGTTCTCGCCTGGCTGGCACTGCCATCGCCAATGGGAGAACTACAAGAAAGAGTGATAGATACATGCTGAACTGAATACTGAAGTGAGTGAATGGATGGTTGGATGGAGAGGCGCGGGAACACAAGTAAAGAACACTGAAGTGGAAGGCTGTCCAATTTATCCTGCTTGACTCCAGTTGAGTCTGATCGCATGCTCATTGTTCCCCTTTTTCGGTTTCATCACAAGACATCCTCGTCCATATTTACAGGCTTAGATCCATAGGAGGCAGCCACTATGAAAAGCCAAGGATACGTCACATAGATATGGGCCATCCTTGACCAATACCACCGACCTCCTCTCGTCTGTACTCTTTTAGAAACAGTTATATGCGCCCTAGGTCTCAAGCTCATCCTCAGCCAAGCAACGTAGCGTAGCAACGTTGTAGGAATCTGGGGAATGATTTTGCTTCTCGTTCGAGTAAGCACTTAGCGCACGTCTCATGCATGTTGACGAGTGGCTGTCGATCCCCCAGCTGATGGATGGTCTCAACTGTAGTGTCAGCACCAGCGCTACTTTCGCCCATTGTGATCCAATGACCTGCTAAAGATGCCCCATAACACCGCTGGTTTGTTTAATCATGCGCTGTGGCGTAAATGACTGGAAGAGGCGCTTTGTTTCGTCTACATTACTTTCAACATAACTGAAACATGGCTCAGCTCAGCCGTAAAGGTGCATAATATCAGGAAAGAGGTCAATTCGCGCACTACTCGGCTCGGCACAAACAATGACACGAAATCATAGTAATAGGCGGGATTATTGGCTATCTTCTCATAGGTACCTAAGTAGGAATACTGAGAACCGGGCCGATATTCTGAAATTTGGGCGACAATATCTATAGGTAGTAATTACTTTCTGTATAACCCTGCAGTCGGTTCAATTCTCAAGCCTTTACCGCTCCCATCAGGCTCCAGTAATTCAAAGAGTTCAATGTCGCAGCATACTGCCCCCTCTCAGATGACACCGTCAGAATCATTGATGAGCTTCCTTTCTCAGCCGACCGGACAAAATGTTCACGTAGCACCATGGTCAACGGCGATGACCTAAAAGGGATCATCGTCTGGCTGGTTGACCAGGCCCTCATGACCTCCTTCAATGCTAGTAAATCCGTATTGATCTGACGACCCTCTTGGCGCTCTTTGGGTGTCTGTTTCAGCATCGGCATTTTGGAGCTTTTCTCGGTATGGTACTCGGCGCCTGCGAGATCCTTCAAAGACAATTTTGGCGCCCAAAATTGGAGTCGAGGATGAATCGAGCGCAGAATCGACGCACTTCTCTGCATCTGCAATACGAGCTTCACACTCGGCCTTCTCGGCCAGAGCTTTATCGATGCGCGTTTGGTCTACCTGGTAATCCGGGTTTGGCTTCCAACTCCCATCGGGTGTCTTGACGACGGCCTTCATTTGCTCTTCGATAAGATATCATCGGCCCGCTTCCCTACCGGAACAAGCTCCGACTGTCGCTAGACAACGACCTCTCTCGCTTCCTCCAGCTCCTGGTTGACAATCTCCAGCTCCAATACGGCGTAGGTGCGAGAACTGAGATCATGGACACTGGACGAACTGACCACACGCTTTCCCATTGCTTGGATCAGCTCCCGACGTAATTTATCGAAATCCCAGCAGGGGCGCTTCACAATAGGCCGAACTCGGACCTTGCCCCCGTCGAGCTTCTCCGTCTCGCCGCGAATGTGTGTCTTTCCGTCGTAACCCTCTCGAATGTGACACTCAGCGCGCCCATTCAGAAGATCAACAGCTGTATTCTTCCTGAGTTCAAAAGACTGAACTCCAAGCCCAGCTGCTTTCCAATTGGTAGTTGAGCGTTTAGGGGCTCAAGGGCGTCGAATAATCGCTTCGCAGCCGCAAGACATAGGCCAAGCTGCTTGCCATCCTCGTAGTCGTATCCGACAATCGTGTGTGTTTTCCCACTTCCAGAGTGACCGTAGGCGAAGAAGCTACAGCTCCCCCCTTGTAGGACGTTGGGGATGGCTGCTGCGACAATGGTCTCGTAAGCTTTTTGACATTACCATCGGTAGGACTGGTATGTATGATAATAACTCGCGCATGGCTAACACAGTCCGGGCTGGTGTAGCGGTCACATATCCTAGGGGTATTCCACAGGCCAGGAAGTGCCAGGTTCTTCCTGGGCCCGGGATTTTTATTTTATTTTTTTAAACCTTACTCCATAGTAGTAAGTGAGGGAGCTGTACAGCTGCTGAAAAAAAAAGGGGGGAATTCCCAAACACGAGTAATTTGATAACTTGATACCATACCCAGGCATCACAACACAACAAACTTCAGCCTTGTGCCCGGCTACGAGCTTTGTGCCCGGCCGTATCTAAGGTTCAATACCAAAATAGCTGTACTCGTATCGTACATAAGGTTTACTCCATACTAGACGTTATATATCAGAATAAATCGTACATAGCTAAAATGAAGGCCGGGCTGGTGTAATGGTAGCACGTCCTAGGGGTATCACAGGCCAGGAAATTTCGGGTTCGAATCCTGGGCCCGGGTTTTTATTAATTTTTTATTTTTTTATTTTGATTTTTGTATTCATTGGACCCTACTATATACCAGACCAGAACGGCGGTGAAGGCTAGGGAGCTCTTGCACGCGCCGTCTTTGGAAGATGAGGTAGACCTTGCGACTGATACTGAGAGAAGTGACTCGGGAGTAGTGGACGATACGCGATGAGATATCTCGCTGTCTCCGGCGTCGGAGTGAAGCAACGATCGCCATCGAGCGTTATACGTTCATGGACTCTGGTTTAACAGGCAACGGGCATATTGGCTCGCTATGTCGAGCGTGAGTTGCCCTGGGAAATCTCAAGCATTTGCGCCGCTCTTTATTGGCAATCGACGATGGCCGAATCTCGTTGCCTGCAGCGGAGTGAGTCGAGAAGATGGTGCCTGATGTAAGGGTAATAATTGCATTTTACTAGGCAGCCAGATTCGGTGCCGCTGTGGAGCCTTGGCAATATACGTGAGTTGGCTGGATGAACGGTTGACAATAGACTGATGAAGATTTTGTATGATTGTAGAACAAGCACTCGACTTTTTCGAGAGGCCTAATATCTATATAAGGCAATCATTTTGTTGTCAGGGGCAGAACAGGCTACCTATCTATCTCATTGTGGTTGTGAAGACCGGGCACAAACGATCTCCTGCGAATTGCAGAGCCTATGTTCTAACATATAATTGCTTAGGCAGCAGTTCGTAACAGCCGGCTGGGATAAGTATTAGTTATCGATGTATATATTTCAGTGGAAGGGTAGAACAGAATATATCACAGAGAGCTTAAGACAACTTGAAGTTCTACATAACCCCCTCTGATTGCGTCCTAAACTAAATTCCCTTTTGCGAGGAACGGGGTTTAAAAACAACCTTGTGCATATAGAAACGGAACATATACCAGTGTGCAATCTAGTAGGTATTGATATAGGGAACCTTTACCAAGTATTTACTTCCCAGGTAGAGTTCAAAGCACCTGACCATACTCACAGACTTTCCTATGTAGGTAAGATATAATCACAAATTTAACATCGACGGCGTTATAATAACCCTAATAGATGGATAAATACAACATGAGATATATTTACCGTTTCTTCTAGGCTCCCTTGCCAAATTAGCCAGTGATCTGTATCTACCATCCCCGGGCACTTTGACTGTTTGGGGCCAGTGGCGATATACCAAAGTCAAAAGTGAGGAGAAAGCCAAACCATGACTAATGGAATAAATCAAGCGCCCGACGGACCGGGAGCGCACATGGTTTTGACTGCGGGGGACGCGTTAATGTCACACAGCAGTCCTAAAACTCTACATAGGAAGTTGAGGAAGTACCAAGAACTCTATAGCTAGTGTTGAACTGAGGCATTGTGAAATTCAGGCTGATGAGAAAGTTATATAGGCTTAATAGTAGGAAGATATCTTATTCCTTAACTAAAAAGGGCTACATAACTCGACCGCTGAGCTCTTCAACACCGTATACACCTAACCAACTCAGCCATCTGTCCGACAATTCCGGACCACATTATTTTTGAGGGCGAGCGACTCGTGCGGATGCTATGCTCTAACCGATGAAGCAAGATAAATTTAAAGTTCGACGCTTCCCATCTCCACGTGATATACCAAGTGCCACTCAATTCTGCCTTAGGAACGTGAACACGATTCCGATCGAACTCCTTCTTTAACCATGATCAAACACAATGGCCCATGTCCAATACGTGACTGGCGTCCAGATTGTAATTGGGGTAACATTTCCCTGCGCGACCATCGCTCTGGTCCTGAGGCTGATCTCGCGACGCCTCACGAGGGCAGGATACAGCTTCGATGACGCATTCGCCGTCATCGGGTATGTACGTGAATATATTCTTCACTCTATGCGTCTTGATATCAATTAACCTAACAGCATGGTTCTGCAGATCAGCAGCTTGAGCTTTCTGACTGTTATTCTCGTCTGTATGTAATACGGAACCCCGGTGGCATCGCGCGATGCCTTTCATTAATAAAAAATACTTATCAGCCATTCCAGGGCTCGTGGATTTCGGCCTCGGTCGACCAAACGAAAATAATCCATATGGGTTGTCAGTGGCCGAGATACGAAGAAAAGGCTGGTTCTTACTCTTCCTCGCGAGCGAAACCTACACCTTTGCCATTGTATTCTGCAAGTTTGCCATCTTGGCATTTTACTGGCGGATATTCAAATACACCAGCATCCGAATCGCCATCCAAGTTCTCTCCGTCGTGACCATGGCCTGGTTCCTCCTTCGCGTGTTCATGGTCAGCTTCCAGTGCGTTCCAATCCAAGCGCTATGGGACCCGTCGATCAAGAATGGGAGATGCACCATTAAGAAGCCGACTCTCTTCTTCTCCACAGGACTGACGCATCTCTTGATTGAACTAGTCTTGCTCATTCTTCCGGCAACCGAACTGCGAAAACTCCATCTCCCTCTGGGCCAAAAGATTGCTGTTATATTACTCTTCATGACCGGGATATTGTAAGACTGGACTGGCTGTACATGTTTGATTCCAAATGCTAACTTGATTACAGAACTTGCATCGCATCTATTTTCGTAGCTATCACGGCAATGCAGTTTGACCAGAACACGCAGGAGTTGGGGCTTGACTTGGCCAAGCACATGACTTGGCGCGTGGCTGAGGTTAACTTGGCTGGCGTCTCCAGTATGTATACTCGATTTGCGATCCTTCTCTGGCCGACTGGTATAATACCATTCCTACTGTTTTCTAATATAATGCCCGCAGCTTCATTGCCATTGATTCTGCCCATCATCCGCAAAATCGTCCCCGGACGGTTCCTCAACTCACATAGCGAGCGGCCACCTCTCCAAGCCATTAATATCGAGAGAAGTAGGGGGAGGCTCACGTCGATCATTAAGAAAAGGATACACAACGCAGAGGGAGCAAGCTCGCGAAATGAGCTTGCCAACTTGGATAGCAACAAGGGGAGTGCTCCTCTAAGCATCGCCGAGCCGTGTTTGATTGCTAGCTGCCATAACAACCACTGAGTTAATATTATAGAGTAGTAAAGCTAAGCCTTAGGAGTTTAGGATCCTTGCTTTCCTGGTTGTTTCTTTGCCTTGCAGTAACATAATTGGGAGATTACATCCACCATCGCCTACCTCGGGGACTTTAACCTCTACTCTAAAAAGAGGTCTCTTCTACAGTCTACCTCCAAATTGAGCTTGCAAATTGCGCAGGCTTTCCAGTCCGGGTCCTGCCATCATTTGCGTGCTAGTAAGTTCCATGAAACTGTCGTACTTATGTTAGAGTTCGGCTCTCACCACTCACTTAACTGCCAGTCCATAAGGAATTGATGGGACAGACACCAATCCACCAAAATAGCGGCGACCGAGCACAAAGTCAGCGCGAAATGTCATTGTTATGACTATTCACAGCACACATAGCCAGACGCCTCAAAAGACCAGGCAGCATCTTATCTTGTGAGGTTAGGGCTTCACAGCACCACAAGGGCGTGAGATGTAAGCCCTACAACTTCTTGGTGGCTCATTTCTTGGCTGCACTTCGCCCCGCTCCAGTTATGGTATTCATCGAGACAACGCACGTGTGTTCATGTTGTTTACATTCGGAAGCGCGGACATGCACGTTGCGCGCCTAGTGGAAGGGCAGCTCAGCAAGCAAGTAACGACCCCACGCGCGTGACAAAAAACATGGCCCATACAAACAATTTATACAGAATTATCTAAACAATAAGTATCCAAATAAAATAAAAATAACCATATAAAAGCTCATTCAAGTTGGATACTGCCTATTACTTTTATTTTATTATTTTAGTTGAGTATTATTGTAGAAATTAGATCTAAAAAGTAGAGGTTTGTATATACTGATGGTTTCTTTGGTGGTACGCCCCCTAGTTTACGTGGGCCATGTTTTTTGTCATGCGCCTGGACCCCTAGGGCCCCAGCAATTGGGTGGCGGGGTCACAGCGGGCGTGTGGGCGAGGTACATGCGGGCACAGCACAGCACTTGTGCTGTTCAGCCGCACCATTCGTCGCCAAGTAGCCACCTTTGCCACCCAAAAGCCAGAACATCCGTCGCCATTGCCGGCTCCTGCCCCTCTTGCTTTTCCATCCCAGCCTCCCGGTATCAAGTGGCCAGCATGGCCCCTGATTGGCTCCAACTCCATCTACGTACCTAATCCGACAGGTCATCAACTCCGCACGGTGACATGAGGAGTCAGTCATGTCACCGCCTCCCTCAGATCTTTAAAGCTTAAAGTGCCAATCTTCATTGTCAAGCGACGGGTCATCAGCCGCACCCTGCCGTGGGAAAGGAGCACAACTGTGCCGTGCCTGACCCTATTCAAGGCCTTTAAATAGCAGAAATACGCAACTCTCGATCCAGGAAAAAATAAGTCATGGCAGAATCTCAGGTAGCTCATCTACATTCAACTTGCCAAAAGCTTTCTAAGGGCGCCTCACTCTGTTTCATTACTTAGGTACCTAAGGCAGTTCATACATCAGATCCTCTTACTCCCTTTCTGTCCATTTCTTTCTTGTTTTCCCCCTCTTTTTTAAACCCCTTCATTTCACCATCCTCAAATATATGAACTTGGTCCATTCGCTATGCCAAAACGGGGTGTGCCAATTTCTACACCCACTCATTTAGGGTCCGTCCCCAAGCGGAACCGCCCGTCGGCTCGAACCGAACGGGGTCTATCACTAGGTACTCCATCAGACGACGTGGAGATAACCGAGATTTTCGCTTGCCCCTTCTTTAGAAGAGACCCTGTGCAGCACATTGATTGTCTCGGTCGCAAGCTGAAGCGGATTAGCGATGTCAAGCAGCATATCAACCGGCGTCACCTCAATGACATCGTGCAGTGCCCTAACTGCAATCTGACCTTTGGCTCATCTATTGACCTTGATGAGCATATCAACTTGTCTTGTTGTTCCTCGGCGACTCCCTATACCATTCAGCAGAGCATCCCGGAGCAACTGAGAGCCCGTGCCCCCCCTGGGACGCCAATCGAAGACGTGTATTCAGCTCTCTGTGGCATTCTATTCGGCAAGCAGGAAACACCAGTACAGCCTTACCTTGGCCCCATCTTGCTGGAGAGCACCGCACTGCTCTGGAGCTTCTGGCAATCAGAGAAGGCCTCTCTTATTCAAACCGTGGTCAACCAGTCTGCATCTTCCACTGCAGGGGATATGTCTGCTGTGGTCTTGACCATTGTCGATCAACTCCGCATGAGCTTTGAGCAGCATGTGAAAGCATTGCCTGTTGGTGGACTACCCAGTACCCCTGCATCTGCGACGCTTTCCAACATCCAGGAAGAAATCCTCCAAGCCGACTCACTGCCAATGCAGCTTTTTGGCTCCTTCCAAACATCGGACGTCTCGTTCGGAGCTCAATTGCCAACTTCCGAGGGCTCCCACAATTCGATTTCCGTCCTAGCTTTTGAGGGCGCAGCAATGTCCATGAGTGACGGTACAGGTAACTTTTCGAACACAATCGGTTCAAATAATGACGCCCACGATCTCTCATTCTTGAGACAAGATGAACATCACTCTTCGGCAGAAGTTCTCTTCGGGACTGAGGCAAGTCTTTCGACAAATCTAGACATTGGCTTCATTTTTATGTAGATACATCCGCGTGTGCAGGGGGAATAAGGCGATGTATTGAAAGCTCGGTCCTGGGATAACTTGGACGGAATTTTTTGGGCTTTGGTTTTATGGAAAATCTATTAGGGAACTTCATACAACAGGGTATTTATTCAATTGCACAATTGTCCCAAAGTATCATGCAGGGAACGCAACATGAAGGGATGAGGTCTCAAATAAAAGAACCAATGGTGTCTACTGCACGAGACCTGTTGCCGTGAATCCTGCTTACCCTGCACCTGATGTCTCCAGTCCCAGGCAGCGGCCTTTTTTGCTCCCATTCTATTCGTATTTATGCCAAATAGCTCTAGTTGCTTTAGTAGTTAAAAAATGTTTCCCTAGAGGGGTATTGAGGTTAGATTAAGTAAACGCCTGCTGGAGAGCTGCCCAACCTCACTAGCCACAAGCATCATCACGGACATCAGAAAGTACTACTCTTCTAGGGAGCACGGGAGATGTTTAACTCGATTTTGGTCGGGATATCATTCATTTCCACTCATGTGACTCTGGAAGCCTACCTATGGGCGACACTAGCGCTTGGCTATAAATAACTTCCCTTTGTACGAATTCTCTTTGTATTTTCCCCAAACGAGAAGGCTTTGTTCCGGATGATATGAAAAGCTTATGAAAAGCATCACCATCATCACCCTTTTTCAGACTTTGTAATATTCCTTCTTCATAATTTTCACTGAACCTCTTATCGCACGCACATCGAAACTGCCGCACCACTACTTCACTCCAAACACCGTATTTCAGGCATGATATCCCTGGCTATCTTGATATTCGGTTGCCTTGCATCAACCCCTTTTGCCATATCGATCCCATCGACGACCTTTCCGCAGCCTGAAGATAGCCAGGAACATACCCCTAGCAAATGGGTTACCGGAAATGCAGGTGGTCTCGATGATTCTGTCTCCCCTCCGTCGGGAGGTCCAACGTGGGCTGTAAAAAGTGAGATAATCTAACCCCACGGGCATTTTGCATCTTTTTACACGCAAGAACAAGACTAATTCTTATGATTTAAGGGGAGGACTATGAGCAAATCTATGTACACTGCCAAGTGAGAGAAAGATTTACACCATCGTGGGTATGAAGCAGCCCAGTCTTATTTCCCAAATCGAAAAGTAGTATCTTACTAATAATCCATAGGGACCAGATGCCAAACTATGCATTGAGGAGCTCGCCAGCCGCGGACAAGAGGCATGCAGAGCCACGAAGCAGGAGACCGTCCTGTGCAGAAAAGGCAACACGGTTATTACGAGCCAGGTTATCGGAAACAGCGAAGATACTGTGACTTCTTGGTATGTCATCCCTAACGCCTACTATTTGTTCACTGGCTAATATATAATAGCGGAAATGTTGCTGCTTCAGCCGGTCGGATCATGGATAAATGTTACCATCAAGACAATACCGTGGTTGGATTCGCTATTGCGATGGGGACGTACGCCTTTCGGCTAGATATTCGACCCGAATGAACAATTCGCTCCATACCTTAGCTCGGCCATAAGCCTCCGAAGTCACTCGTCTGTCTTTGTTGTCGTCAAAAAACACGGTATCCAGAATTATCTGTAGCCCAACACTTTGCATTATAATACTCTCAATTAAAAACTCTTTTGCAAGATACAACATTGCACATGATTTTGGGTTCAGATGTTTGATAACAGTATCGCCTAATGTTATCTTAGTATCGTTAATGTAATAAGCCTTCTCAACACGAGCCTTGGCCCAACAAATGCTTCCACTTAGCCTAATACCAAGCTTTTAAGATCTCTTGGAAATCAGCAAAGAAAAAGTAAATCCCGTCATGTTGCATTTTCCTCCTAAATCTTATTTCCAGCCACGAGAAAAATTCCATTAAATTTTGCCCAGGGCAAAACATATGAATGCCCTGGCCAGTGCGCTTTGCTCAAACTTTTTTCCCAACCAAAAATCTCACACGGTGCATCAAAGTCGACCACAGCCATTCTGTGTATTCTGTGATCCCGCGTCGCTTTGCTATGTGGCCAGCGTTGACAGCCGTGACCATGCAGTCCCTCTTCTCGGCCATGGTCTTTGCGCACATCTGCTCAGCTACCATACCGGAAGACATCGAGCCTTGTCAAAAGTTTGCTGAGCTGCTACGAGAAGGTCGGTCAAAAACAACCCTGGAGAACCCATACAACTACCCGGCTGAAGTGCTCGTGGACGCTGAGACTGCTTACCAATGTGCAACCTCCATCCCGATCTCCAATGAAGAGATTTCTCGGGTTATCTACAAGTACAAAAATATCCTTCCCATGTACTCTACGCTGGGCTTCCTGAAAAACCCGCCAGCTTCCTACCAGCAGCCGTCCATCGATGTCATGGCATATTTGGATCTTATTTATGAGAGGGCGAAGCAAAATAAATACGCGAATTTCTATGAATATGAGTCTGATATATCTCTTATGGCGATTCAAGTTCATGATCAGCATTTTCGTCTTAAAAACAGCGGAATGTATCAGTTCCGGTGGTATCTCCCTGATGACATTGTGTCCGTCTCCAAGGATGGGAAAGAGTTACCTCAGGTCTACGTCTACAGTGATATCAGCAGAGACGTCCCGTCAGCTTCACCGATTATCGAACTTGAAGATGAGCCTGTTGCCTTTTATCTCGAGAGATACGCGAGAACCAAAGCTTCCACGGGGCTGCTTGAGCCCCATGCGGAATGGAACGCCTTGATGTACAACCCGGCTGTTGAGTTCAGTACCTGGGGTACCCGCAACACCAGCTCTGTCTATACATCCGAGTTCCGAAGCACGTCGTCATATAATGGCAATTCCATTAAAGGCAAATTTGAGAATGGGACTAAGTTTGAGTGGAAATACATGGCTGGCTCCAAAGCTATTTATAACTTGACAAAATTCTCGAGCGGGCGGTCAATCTATGATAACTGGATCACTTCTAATAACAAGTCAAGAATGGGGAAGACTAAAGAAGACGAACAGATGCGCAAGCTTTTCTCCAAGAAAACAACAGCATTCAATTTATCAAGCTCGGTACCATATCCAAGCTACCCGGATGATCCTATCGTAGTTCAGAGCAACTTTTCAAGAGGCGGAACTGTGTCGGGGTATCTCTTGTCCGACAATTCTACTGGTGTGCTGAGCATCCCAAGCTTCCTAGCCGGGACGTACAAGGAGGCTCCAGAAGAACTTCACACGGCAGTCGCTGAATTCATTACCAAGTCTCGCGAGGCTGGAGTGAAGAAGGTAGTCATCGACCTCTCTGGAAATCGCGGTGGTTTTTTGCTTCTCGCTTACGACACGTTTCGCCAGTTCTTCCCGAAGATGGATCCCTATTCTTTGGCAAATTCACGAGCCAGTGAGGATCTAAATACCATCGGCTCTGTATTGTCCCACGTCGCGATGAGCTCCAATGACTCTTTCAAAGGCCCTCTTAATCGAACAATGGCGCAAAGCCTCGGGACTGGCGACTTGGGCATTTTCGGCACCCTATCCAGGGAATCCAAACCTTGGAAGTGGTGGAAAGAATTATTTGGGCCTGTCACTATCAACCAAGACAACTACACCAACCCGTGGAGATACGATTTCAACTCAAAGAGAATGATAGGCCGCCTCGGATTCAACATGACCGGTTATGCAGATAACCAAAGAGATTACGAACAAGCTTTCGACCCGGATGATATCATCCTGCTGCACGATGGACATTGCGGTAGTGCCTGCTTTATCTTTTCCAGTCTGATGAAAAATATTGCTGGTGTCAAGAGCGTCTCGGTTGGCGGAATGCCGGTCGACGGACCGATGCAAGGCGTTGCGGGCACGAGAGGTTGCCAAGTGAGGCAATCCGACGCCATTATCAAAATATCCCATATGATTCAGACGGCCCTATCAGAATTTAGGGACCAAAGTGATAAGGTCGTGCGCTCCAGGCTAGGCGCCACAAGGCGGCAAATCGACCGCCTCCCGTCGCCCAAAGGCACTCCGTGGGGAGACGTAATCGCAGGCATCAATACCTTGAACTGTCTCCCCAGCTCCGGCTCTCAAATTCCGTACCAGTTTCTGTATGAGGCCTCAAATTGTAGGCTGTTCTACACTATGGACATGATTCGAGATATCACATATCTCTGGAGAGCAGCCGCGGCGGTTGCAGGGGGAGATACGTCAGCTTGTGTCCCTGGCTCTGTGGATGGACCCGGGTCTGAGCCTAATAAACCCCTCAATGTCTCCCCTGAAATTCCGTACGCTAATCCTTGGGGAAATTCGGTTCGGAACAATCTGCCACGGGATGAGCCAGTTCAGAATAGTGGAGGGTTTTGCACTGTGTCAAGAGTCGGCGGCTCTGTCAGCGTGGCGGCAGCGACCTTCGCCTTTGCATGGCTACTATGAGAGGCGCCGATGTTTTCGTGGGCGACACGCTTGTCTGTTTGCGATGGTTCTTGTCTCAGTTTGGTAGCGTATGCAAGTATACCTCGCCTATAATTCCACTTTCCTATCTCATTTCTCATAACTTCCTAGTTATTACGTATTAGAATAGGCAAGAGTGTTGATTAATCTATAAGCCTGTTCAAAGTTCTTTTATGCCTGACAAGGAAAACTATGGAGGACTAATCCTTCCTTCATTATTTCAGACTTGATAAATGCGTCTCTAGATGTCTATGAAATGTAATGAAATCTATCACAAAATCCAATATGCAAACTGAGATCACTACTCCGTAACACTATCCTTGATGCTACGTAATGCGCTCGTACCGTGCGAGGGGTCGATGTTGAGAGCATTCTTCGCTCGGCGACGTGCATCCGTCCAGATCATGAACTCTTCATAGGATTTCGGGATGACTTGCAGCTGCTTCTCCACAAGGAAAGTATAGTTGAACATGCCCGTCGACTTCTTGGTGCCGTGCTCCACATCTCGAACCTTGGAGTCGACACGAACGTGGACCTTGGTAAATTTGCTTGGGTCACCCTCCCGGGCCTCAGGTTCGGTGTATGATACTGAGGCAC